TCATCACTGGACCTTTGCTATCTTTTAAATTAATCCGTCGGATGTGACCTCTCTTGATCAACTATTGTGAGAGAGAGAGAGGAATTGTGTAAATTTAAGAAGAACGGCTAATTTGATACACAATTGATACACAAATTAACAATGAAGTGAGAACACGAGAGTTTTGAGAGAGATAGAGGTTAAATATTGCAAGCTAAGAACTGAGTTATAATGAAAATGAATAATGTAAAATAGACAAGAAATTACAGAGAAGAGAATGTACATAATCTTGAGTACATTTAACATACGTCGTGTCTGTTTATAGTAGTAAGAAAATCCATGTAGTATTTCTCAGCAAAACTTGTTATTACCATGGATTATAAAACAATCAATTTCCTTATGCGAAATGAAGCTGGACATGTTTGGTGCTCGTTAATATATCTGTTGGTCCCCTTGTTGTTTATTTTGTTCCCGTGTGTGAACGTGCAACAACAGGATTAATGAATATTTACATGACTGTTGTTTTAGTTTAAAGTGTAACTTTAGTGTATTTTTTTTGTAAGCAGAACAAAACCCGTGTCTGAATGATCATTTTATCGAAAATTGCTTGGAAATCGGTCGTGCGGTTACGATGTTATGGTGGGTTAAAATAGAGCTTTATATTTTATTGACAATGACATTGACAATAGGATTAGTCAGTAAGTTTTACCAACTTATAAATGACTTCTCCTACAACATACACATAAACATTTACACAAATATGGTCACGTGGTGACATGAAACTATTATAATAGTCTTTTTATGTAAAATGTATAAGTGGACAAAAAATAAAGAAACAGACAGAGAGATAAGACCAGGGTGTGGCATAGGGAAAGAGAGATAGAAAGAGGGATGTAGAATGGGAGAGAGAGAAAGAGAAAAAAAAATGACGGTTGTCTTTGGTCTTTCATTTGTTTTTTTGCAGAAAACTTCGCATAAATCTTTCTATTCGGCATACTAACAAGAGAACGTCGATATGATAAAAGTGCCGCTCCCCCTTTGAGATAGAGTACTAATTTCATTTTTTATTGATTTAATATAAATTCTAAAGCCTCAGATACCGTTTTGTTAAAGGTTATGTTTCGAAATGTGTAAAGCGAATTGAAGAGTTTCCAAAATATTGAAAAAAGTTTACCTAGAAAAGTAATTTATGACACAAACAAATTAAGGAACGCCATAATGAAAGAATGGTCTACATCTTTATGTACTTAAGGGTCAATGGCTGTATATAAAACTTAAAGACGACAAGGCTTCAAACACATCATATACAAACGTCTCCAGGAGCGGATTTTTAAACAATCATACATGCCTAAGCGTCGATTATATTTTTGCATTTTTTAACGAATCTGTTCCATTGAGGTCTGCAATAATCAGCCTAACCTTATATAGTTGCCGACTATCCAGTGTTTGACAGACCGTCACTGTATACTGGAGCCCTTTTGTGTTTATTTTGATATCTACATAAGGTGTCAGCTGGATCTTGTATAGTTGCCATGTAAGTAGTAATACATTATTCAGAACCAGTAGATGGCATATCACATTGAGCAGTATGTGTCGGTAGGAACTGACACATCTCTTGGAACAGGAGGGAAGAAGTAGGGATTACTGTATCAGGAATTTATGACATATTTTGAGATATAACATAACACCACGTAAATTTATCTGTACCATTTATCACTGTCCTTTAATACACATGGTTTTGATGCACGTGTGTGAACGTGCAAATGTAAATGAACTATGTATTTTTTTTGAAATGAACAAAACTGTATTGTGAGGCTACAACATGAGCATAATATTTTATCGAAAGCTTGCTATTTTTGTGTGGTCTTATTTTCTGGGTTTTCCCCCCCAAGATTGAATAAAATTGTGAAAAATATTTAAAAGGTGAGGAGATTAAATTATAAAGCATTTTATTGTTTTCATAAAAAAAGTCCTTTCTGGTTTAATGTGACAGTGTAATGTAAGTTACATTCAAGTTATAGATCATAAAATTAACACTGTAGAATAGTATATATTATATACAGATGTCTAATTTTTTTTAAAGTATATCATAAGCAAAGCAATGGACAAGTAATTGTACACACGTTTTCGACAACGTATGGTAAGTCATATAAGATTTTCCCGTTTTAAAATAGGAAAATATTTCTGCCATGTCAGGTTTCTAGAAAATATACAGTACAAATAGTTCAAAGCAGTTAATATCTTAGTTCATCATTTTCCAGAACTGTCATCGCTTGATTATTATAATACAAAAAGACAGTCATGAAATATTTGAGGTCTTTTGTCAATGTCGGCATTCAGGCAACATCTTAAGTATGTTTAATTTACAACTGTGCATAGTTTTAAATCAGGCTTGAACAGAAAGATTTTTCCACTAACCTTAGTATGTAAAAGGATTGAAGGTCTGTTAATAGGATATATACATACCTGTATCTATGTATTTGTTTGTAACACCAGAATTTTAATAACATTTCTGAAAATAAAAAATAATGGAAACCATTCTGGTTAACGACATGTATTTCAGCTACAGATGGAAAGTCTGCAGGATCCAGCTGTTTACTTATCATGGTCATTATACTTCAAAGACAAAGAAAATTAACAACATTCATCATCGTTGCAATATTGCCAGTCTTCAACGATGGTGGCAATACCATACTTACATACAAATATTTATATATCTAATGTATTTCTAGTTACTATGTTTGACTACAATTGTAGATCTCTAACCAGCCTCAATCATTTGTGCTTAGTTTTAATAGACTAGTTTTAACATCACAGACAATACATTAAGTCCAAGGAGTACAAAAACATGAATAAAGCTCATATAGTTACATTTACATTTTACATGACGGCCTCCCATGAACTCAGTGTTAATCTGGATTGTATGTACAGGAGAATACATGCAGTCTGGACTACATGACAATGACAAGCTGCCATTTTAGTGCAATATTGACCAACGTTATGTCAACTCTTTCCGAGTCACTTCAGCTAAAACTGGGCCCAGACCTACCACTTACACAAAATTTGTTCCTCTTTCTCCATAGATGCTTCAGACCAAATTTGATTAAAATCCGCTCAGTCATTCATAAATAGTTGCAATATATTAAAGGGTCAATGGCTGTATATAAAACTTAAAGACGACAAGGCCCCTTTGGGCCAGGTGAGCTAAAAATTAACCAGAAAAAACATTAAAGTTTCAATTAATTATCGAAATGTAAGTATAACCATTGAACGTCTGTCCTAACAGACATCATTCTATTTATTTGTCACCTGTATTGCATTCATACTGACAATAAATACAAGCTGACCAACATTGAATGGTTAAATACACTGTTTGGTATGTAATGTATAGATATGTACACATTGAAATGAAGGAGGCTTCAATAGCCTAGTCAGTTTGCCAAAGTCAGGTAAATATCCAAGATGCATGGTTCAAAGCTCCCTACCAATGATGGTTTGTATTTCTCGGGAAGCTAAGCAAGACACTTTATTCTAATGGGTTTGGATGGCATCCAACAGGTTTCCTGTTTGTTGACAACTGAAGTATATGTAGCTACTAGCTACTACATGAAGTGATTCTGGCTGTTTCCAGGGCAAAAAATTTAACAAACAAACAAATGTATTGATGTAAAAATTTCATTGCAAACATTTGCTAATAAACATTTACATTGCATCAAAGTATTAACAATTTATTCAGGAACATCAATTTTAAAGTGTCATTTACAACAAACAAGGCTTTTATTGTACTTCAGGGTAACTAGCACATAAATCAAACGCAGTCAAGATGCTGCTTAATCCATACTTTGCTACATACCTGACAATAAAAAATATCTGAATTGCTTAAGTAGAAAAGCTAAAGAGTTTAGAAATGAAAAATTTCATGTTTAAAATTGAAATCTTATAAGAAAAAGTAATATTTGATTAAATCAATTCATTGAAGCATAATTTTAATGCACTGATAAGTGCTTGGTTAAGCTAACAATACTTTAAACAACTGGACCAAACCAACCGCAAAATAACCATTATTTGTGTTATACAGGGATGGGTATCTTATATGCAGATAAAAAACACTTAACAGTAAACTATAACGGAACAATGCATTTTAAAAATGCCAATCGAACAGTACATTATACAAAAATACAATTTTATAAAAATATAGAAATTTGCAAATGAAAATTCTCGAGTAAAACAAGGAGTAAGGCGCTGTATTTTTACAATATAAAGCACAATCTTTTTATCACCTTTGTGTAAATACATTATACAGCAATATCAATATTTATGAAATGAAACTTAATTTTAAAATTGAATGGTTCAAACTGAAAATATTTCGAATATCAAATTATCCAGACCTTGTTTCTGAACCTGAACTGAAAAAATGTTGTCATGGATATCTTGTGTTTCAGAGACGAGCCTGATTTTGAATTTCAGTTTTTAGTCTTTTTACAAGTAAACATACTAATATATCTTTAATGATAATGATATGATAAGCTGTGTAAACACAAAACCCAATTCTTTTAAAATTGTGTCTACCTGAAGTGTCCATCACAGGTGACATCAACATTGATGAATTATGAATCTGTTTAATATCATACTTTAAGCAGCTTAATTACAATTTCAGTAATAAATATAATACATGATTTTATTCTCTTTGTATATTATACCCCGTTATAGTGTATCCAACATATAATGAAATTGATTTATTAACACAAAATGACAATTAAATGGATACATTATCCTCACTATGCTGTACCACATAAGCTTTGTCAATGTAGTTTCATGAAAAAAAAAACCCAAACAAACAAAAGTAAATTAAAATGAAATAATATAAACATGATAAACGTCAATCACTAAATTTTTACAATGCTGTTCACACGATAATGTTCTAAAATCCTATCAAGAAATAGGAGGCAAATATTCAACATACATCAACATAATTATTCTATTTTGTATATTTTTTTCTTTTTTGATTTGGTTGAATGCCTAAGTGGAGGAGAGTCTACTAATCGAAAAGATTAAAGAAAAATATCAACGATTAGGTGGCGATCTAAACAAAAGATTTCAAAATAAAGTTGACAGCTTTTAGTGACCTTAAAGGACATAGGACACATTTTAAAAAATTTCTCAAAAACACAAATCAAATTTTTCAAACTGTTGTTCAACAAGAGCTCCCCGAGGGATCTTGCAGCCCATAATTGTTTGATCTATATTTGCTCTTGGAAAGTTCAATCTTGTCCCTTCTTGTTTTCCCTTTTTTCTGTTTCTGCTCGTAATGATAATAAATTTGAACATTCCTTTGCAGAAATAGCGATAATAATTTTCAATTGCCAGATCCAAGATTTGGTCCTAAACAAATTTTTATTTTTATGCTGTAGTTCTCAAGAAACAGAGATAACAAACTTCCAAAGTCAAAATTCATGATGGTCACCTGTCAGCCATTTTGTGTTTCTGATCAGACCCAAAATCAAATGGTCAAAAATAGGGTTCAAGGAGAACATAAATATGAAATTTGAGAAAAGATCCATCTGGTACTTCTCAAGAAATAGCAATAACAAAAACTGTATATGAACCGACGATGGACAAGTTAGTAGAGCAATTTTGTATACACCATCTGATATGATAATGGGCTAAAAAGCAAAGTGTGTGATTGCAGGCATTTTCGAATACCTCATTAACTTATATTAGAGCTTTAAAATAGCTCATGACTCTCGGTAAAAAAAAATATGATCTGTGAAGTCTCTTTTTGTAAACAGTAGGATTAATGCCTTAACTTTAATATGTTCTAACACAGAATACGTCTGAAAATGAATTGTCCCAATGTTAAACATATATGAGACATTCTCTGTCCATATGATGCAGTCAAAGCAAGGTCACATGATATTCTTCTATATTTGAGTAATTTAACAACTGATTATGACATCATTTCACTGATATCCAACAAAGACCTGATTTGTAGGTCTTTGCTGTTATAAGTAACTGAAGAGATTTGGAATTGTTAAAAACCATATATAAATGGCCGCATATATTTTTTCATTATGGTTTTGTAAAACAAAATGCTGTTACCCTTAAACGGAGTAAAAAGTTAAATAATAACTTTAAAATGCCTGGTCTAACAATGTCAAATCTCATTTCAAAAGCACCCTGTACATTTATATATGATAGATAAAAACGTATAACTGGAAATTATTTAAACTTCAATAATTGCAAGAATTCTGTATATAAACGTATAACCATATCATGAATTGAAGCAAACAGTAAGAAAAATCTTGATTAAAACAAAACACATCAACATATAAATTAAAGGATCAGATAATAAAATTACAATTTATAATTCAATATCTCCATCCATTGGGATAAATCAGTGGGATCTAAAATCGTCATGGAATGATAGTCAGGGACAACACTATATGTCCCTGCTATTTCATGGCAAAGACATAGAAATTCTGATACAATTTAAATTTTCAACTGTTAGTCATACCAAAAATAGACCCCAAAGAAATTTTGGTGCCCATCATTGTTTGCGCTTTATTTGGTCTTAACGAGATTGATAATTTCTCTTGAGGTCTTTTCTTGGTATTTTCTATTTGTTGTAGAAAATTTAAAATCACAATATGAAATGGTAATATTAATCTTTAACTGTTACATCCCAGATGGTGGCTGCCATTTGGTCTTCATGATCAGTTCCAAAATCAAATTAGCACAATCACAGACATTCAACAGATTAAAAATATAACACAGGATAAAACTTAACAAAGAAACGCTAACTTGTAGTAAAATACAGAAACCATATACTTCTGTACAACAGGCAACAGCTGTGTACCGATGAGGGACTTTGTACCTGTAATAATTACTGTTTATCGTTTGAGCACAACGACTTCCCTCAAAAATTAAAAAAAAAAAAAAAAAAATTCTGATTAATTGGAATGCAGACAGTTTGATAAGTCAAGCAACTTTTTTTTTTCATCCACCATTGCTTAAGCTTGTACAGTTTCATTGTTTCGGTTGACTTCCTCGTCTGTTTGATTTCCAGCAAATACTAGAAGAAAACGAAAGTATCAGTGTAACTGACAAATGCTCCCACAAAAAAGAACTTTGTTAGACACAAAATTTTAACAAAAGGCAATATTTCTGTAATTAGGGCTTGTGGGCCCAAACATTGGTGCACTGCACATTATCTTAGTATGATCAATGTATACACTAAGTTTCATTATCCTTGTTTTAAAGCAATCAAAGTTATGCTCCAGACAACAAAAAATTAACAAAGGGCAATAACTCTGTAATTAAGCGGTTGTTGGCCATAAATTTCATACAATGCACATCATCTTAGTATGATCAATCTATATACAAAGTTTCATTATCTTAGATGAAATGTGAGCACATTAAAATTAATCTCTGGACATGAAATTTTAACAAAGGGCAATAACTCTGTAATAGAGGTGTCAAAGGCCCTAAATTTGGTACAATGCCAGTCACCTTAATATGCCCAATGTATACAACAATTTTCATGATCCCTGGTTAACTGTGGACAAAGTCAATGCTCAGGAAACAAAAGAATGGATGAAAAAAATGGAAAAGATGGACGTATGGACAAAGCAGCGAAAAAAGAAATGCAATTAGCAGAAAGTTAATATTGTAAAATAAACCCTTGACGTACACCCTTGAAACTTGACAAATGTGTGCATTTGAGTTAGGTCCCTATGGTACCGTATTAAAATCACTGATGCATAACTAAACTGTGCACGCCGCTTGTACAAAAGAATAAGAGACAAAAGCACGATATCTCGAACCCAGTATAAAGGATTGGTTCAAAATCTGTGTGTGCGAACCTTCAGACATATCCGTCTTGATTTCCCACATTTTAAGCAAAATCAGTTCACCTTAAAAATGCCACGACTGTCCGAAGTTGACAGGGGTCGTGCCATTGTGTCGACGCGTTGGCAGGATAGGGCAATGCGACTTTCGCACCTACGGAAACAGCAAGGAACACAAATGGGCGTCATCATGTTCCAATTGATCCAAAGACAGTGCGTACTCGAATGCCTGCCTTCGGTCGAGGACCGTGGTGGTCATAATTTGGACAGCTTAATGCACGGCGACGCGTGAGACCAATGCAATGGCTGAATGCACATTTAGTAAGACACTTCCCAATGCAACGTTGGAGAAGGGTCCTGTTCTCAGATAAGTCCAGGTTTTTGCTTTATCGGGCAGACAGCCAACGTCGTGTCTATAGACGTACCCACGAGCGCTATGCAAATGCTTGCGTGATAGAGAATAACCGCTTTGGAGGAGGATCAGCCATGGTATTGGGAGGGATTAAACATGATATCAAGACTCCTCTGGTCATTATTCACGGAAATCTCACGGTTGTCAGCTACAGAAATCAAGTCCTAGCGCTGCATGTTGTTCCTCTAGTACAGCAGCGTCAACTGACGTTTCAGCAGGACAAAGCCTGGCCGCATGTAGCGAGGTTTTGCTGCAACAAACAATGTCCCCACCCTAGACTGACCCCCACACAGCCCTGACCTCTCCCCAATAGAACATTGATGGGACGAATTGGACAGAAGGATAAAACGTAGGCCGAATCCTCCAATCAACATCGTTCAGTTGGCGTTGGCGCTGGATGAGGAATGGAATCATATACCAATGAGGAGGGTTAATACCCCGATCAATTCAATGCACAAAAGAGTTTGTGCAGTTACTGCAGCTCGCGGGGGCAAACACGATATTGATGGGTCCAGAATGCAATTCATTTTGAGTGGGGTACTCTTGAATCAACCTCAAATTGGAAAGGTTTACTTAACATACACAAATGAAATTCTCGTAGATGACAGAGTGGTCAACTATCTTCCAGTTACACCATAATTACATTCTAAAACCCTTTTCTATTTCCCGTAGTTGACCTGGAAATTCCTAATAGCGTTTCTGTTTCCTCTCAGTATATTTAGTTATATTACATAGGATAAGGATTCTCAACCTCATGCAAACCTACAGCTGATACAATGTAGATTGAAGAACTTTTTTTAACTTGGATTTTAGAAAAAGGCAAAGCCAATTTGTGATGTAAAATTGCAAGCATCGTATCAACCTTTTGAACTTTTGCTCGATTTCTATCGCAGACCATACAAATAATGTTGCCCCAAAAAGTTGTACAAAATACTAAGTATAAAGGAACATGTAGAGTGATTTCCCTTATTCATGAGCAAGTCTGTCCAACTTGTACAAGAGGTAATGTTTGTGAGTATATCTAGATATTTTTTCATCCTTTATAAGGCACATCTTTTTGATGTTTTTATAAGTACATGTCACATTTACTTATTTGAATATGGTATTATTTTAATCCTGTAGCCTGCATCTTTTCTGTAACAAAATGTCATCTACACCATCACCAAAATCTGCCTCCGAATTAATGCTTGAAACCTGACAATGGCAGTTATACCAAAACCGTCACTCGATCTACATGCTACAAGCAAAACATAGAAAGCACTGCTCTTCACTATACCAAACCTTTACCCTACATGCTTAAGAGATGGACTATATCACCTACAGTGAATTTTATTATTTTTTGTTTGATGGAATCATGAGTGTAGTCTGGTGTCCAGCAACTGATAGCCATTCAAGCGATAAACTACCACCAAAAGAAAATATTAATTACATATTCTTGTTGTTTTAAGGTAAAGCAGATATATGTTGTCTAAGATTGTCCTGCAATAAGCCCACCCCTCGATATAGAGCCAGAAATTTCATAGAGACTTTAAATAGATTCAAGCAGGTAATGTGGCCCATGCAAAGTGTGAAATTTAAATATCACAAAATGTTGCAAGAATTGGAATGAAATTTCAAAAAAGGACTGCAAAAGTACAAGACAATACATTATCAAGTCAAAAAATACAAACAATTTTGTTTCTTTGGTTTCAATAAAAAAGGACACATATGCATTATTCTGTAGTTAATTTTTTTCAAGGAATCATTTTTTTTTCATTTAATTTCTAGTAAAATAAAAAAAATTGAAAAATAATCAAAATGACAGCCCATTAAAAATGATAACTTTAACAGTATATTCTTTATAAATTGTGTTCAGTCAAAACCCTGTCACACATTATCAATATCATATGCTACAATTAAAATTGGCTGACAGCAGCTCTTTATGACACAACTGAAAGTAAACATTATGTGTATGTAGCTAATATTTATTTTCTGATTTAGATCATACTACTATTCAGATTTAGAATAGATATACTATATCTTGTTATCTCATATTAGATTTTGTCAAGTTAGAAAAAAACAATTGAAGATATAAAAGTATGTGTCCAGGTGTTCTAAACCAGTCATGTAAAATATATTAGTGTGATTTTGATATTTTTATGTAAATATGTTTTTTTTTTTTCAAAAATGATTTGTGTCATCAATATGGCAATCATTCCAGTGTTTTGGTAGTTGTACTTGTACAGAGACAACAGACAGCAGAAAGAAAATGTCACAAAGACAATGATATCAATCCAAACCACAAGTTTCAAATTATGACAAAATATTTATTCCCTTCTTACCACATACCTTTTTGTTTCAATCCTTTTCCGTAATTCAGCCATGACTTTACAAAGTAGGTGATCATGACACATCTGGTAAATAATGCAACTGTACCACAAACAATGGTGGGCAAAGCAAGGTTATCTGTGGACGGACTGAACTTAGAGACTGACTGAAAATATAAACCAAACTTTGTGATGTAAGGATTCTGAATATTAACGGATAATTGTTTGTAGTTTTATGACGTAACAATTTGATGTCTGAAATTTTGTCATAATATATACGTCGCTTTGTACTTAAGGTTAATTTGAAAACTGGTCTCCTGAGATGGACAGTATCCTGTTAATATCACATTTGGCTTGATATCATGTTTTGCTTAATATCATATTTAGGTTTTTGAAATAACCAAAACAAAAATAAAATTACTTTTCTATTAAATGTACCAGATTTTCATCTTAGTAGCATCATGTACAGTAATATGATTTTGAAAAACATTAGGTGTTGATCTCAAACATCTTTATTTTGTAGTTTGGAATGTTTGACAGTGAGACAGTGCAACCATACAAAAGACATGTAAACAACACCTTTCATACAAATTTAGAGAAGATGCAGTAGTGATCGACTATATACAACGAGGGGTTGAATTTTTCTTCAAATTTACCATAACGATTGAACACTGGTAAAAAGCATCTTCAATAAAAATTTAGGGATAGGAAAGCCAAACATTGAATAAAACTGCATCATACAGCTGTTTCGTCCTTCTAGGACTCGTCAGTGATGCTACATCATACAGCTGTTTCGTCCTTCTAGGACTCGTCAGTGATGCTACATCATATAGCTGTTTCGTCCTTCCAGGACTCGTCAGTAATGCTACATCATACAGCTGTTTCGTCCTTCTAGGACATGTCAGTGATGCTACATCGTACAGCTGTTTCGTCCTTCCAGGACTCGTCAGTGATGCTACATCGTACAGCTGTTTCGTCCTTCCAGGACTCGTCAGTGACGCTACATCGTACAGCTGTTTCGTCCTTCTAGGACTCGTCAGTGACGCTACAGCTGTTTCGTCCTTCTAGGACTCGTCAGTGATGCTACATCATACAGCTGTTTCGTACTTCCTGGACTCGTCAGTGATGCTACATCGTACAGCTGTTTCGTACTTCCTGGACTCGTCAGTGATGCTACATCGTACAGCTGTTTCGTACTTCCTGGACTCGTCAGTGATGCTACATCGTACAGCTGTTTCGTCCTTCTAGGACTCGTCAGTGACGCTACATCGTACAGATGTTTCGTCCTTCTAGGACTCGTCAGTGACGCTACATCGTACAGCTGTTTCGTCCTTCTAGGACCCGTCAGTGACGCTACACCATACAGCTGTTTCGTCCTTCTAGGACTCGTCAGTGACGCTACATCGTACAGCTGTTTCGTCCTTCTAGGACTCGTCAGTGATGCTACATCATATAGCTGTTTCCTCCTTCTAGGACTCGTCAGTGATGCTACATCATACAGCTGTTTCGTCCTTCTAGGACTCGTCAGTGATGCTACATCATGTTGTCAGTGATGCTACATTACAGCCAGGACTCGTCAGTGATGCTACATCATACAGCTGTTTCGTCCTTCTAGGACTCGTCAGTGACTTCTAGGACTTGTCAGTGATGCTACATCATACAGCTACATCGTACATGCTACATGTTTCGTCCTTCTAGGACTCGTCAGTGATGCTACATCATACAGCTGTTTCGTCCTTCCAGGACTCGTCAGTGATGCTACATCATACAGCTGTTTCGTCATTCTAGGACTCGTCAGTGATGCTACATCATACAGCTGTTTTGTCCTTCTAGGACTCGTCAGTGATGCTACATCATACAGCTGTTTCGTCCTTCCAGGACTCGTCAGTGATGCTACATCATACAGCTGTTTCGTCATTCTAGGACTCGTCAGTGATGCTACATCATACAGCTGTTTCGTCCTTCTAGGACTCATCTGAGATGTCAATTAAGGACCTAGATTTTTAAACCTAGGAGGCAACTAAAGAAAATTTGAAAGAAATTTCAGAATCATAATAGGAAGGTGCATTAGCCCTGTAGTTAAACTAATAGATGGGGATAGGTCATAATGAAAGTAAACTAAAATAAAGAAATTAGGAAATTATCTTATTTACCTCTACAATTTTGTAGATAATGTAGCTTGGCTGAAGGATAAGGGTACAGGAAAATATGATAGATAAAATCTGGTTTTCATTCCGCACCTGGAAGAAGAAATAATAATTATACATCATTTCATAGGAATTCTATTAAATGTTTAGAAATTTCTAGTAATTTAATAATAGAATCTATTCCTCATTGAGATTTACATGTATGTGTTTATCTCTTTTTGAAGTTATTTTTAACGATAATTTTGCAATTAACCTCTAATTGATGCTTTTAATGACTTAAAATAGACAGGAAATTGAATACATATATACTAATTAATTTTTGACCATACCCTCATCTTGAAAATAATTCACAGCTCATATTCTATGTTAATAAGGATTTTAATGTTTATTTTCAACACCTGCTTATATTTAAGGTGTTTTTAAGCTGAAGACTGAATGAGGGATGCTTTCCAAATACTTGCGCATTTTATTTTATAAATTTTAAAATTTGGACATTTAGAACGATTAATCCAAGACTTCTATGTCAAGGGGAGTTGTTGCTATCAAAGTTGACATTTTCAATACAATTCTCCCTCCAGGATAAATAAATTAACAAAAAATAGCAACAACAATTCCCAAGATTTCCATAAATACATTAGGTAAAGGGAGATAATCGAGAGCATATAATTATCAATCTTACCCCAAGATATCCAAGCACAGCACATCCCAAGACGACAATAATGCCAACAATGATTATGACCAGTTCCAGCTCATGAAGCGTCTGACCAGTGGTCAAGATCAGAATCACCATGGAGAGCTGTTACAACACAAACAAAAATAAGGAAATTCTGATGATGTCATTCATGATCAGATGGTTACAATATTATGATACAATATTGAACTGTTAAGAAATGAGCATTTAAAAAAAAAATTATTATATTATATTATCATATAATAATAAAAAGTCATTAGGACTAATTAAAGAAATTCTGATACTGTAAAATGATTGATTTTTGTGGGGGATTCATTTTTGTTGTTTTCACGGGTAGTCTTGATCATGAATTCATACATCCATGAATTGTTAAAATTAGAGTAAGCTGATTCACTGAACTATATCTATCAATGGAATTACATATGCATGTAATATAAAATTTTTGAAAAAATCAGGAAAATTGACAAAATATATGATTCCTTATCTAATTCCACAATGATGTAAAGGTATACATTAAACTTTACAAAGATGTTTCATTACAATTTGATAAAACCTAGGATATATAATCCAGGCACTTGATTTAACATTCTGTTGGTGGGTCTCTCTTACACTAAGCTGTAGATCAAATTTTAACCATCCAAAGAAGCCAAACAAAGTCCAACACATTCGTTGCATCAAACTCTGAGCTCCCACAGTGCGGAAAATCAAACGTCCGGAATCAAAGTAGTGTTTGGCTATAAGGATGGCGAACACTATGATAAAAGGGCTGAGCACTGAAGTAACAATAAGTCGGACCTGGAAACAGATAAAAGTATGTATACGTTATGTATCTAGCTATCAATTTGTACATGGTACTAAGCCGATAATTACAAATGGAAAAAACGTTTAGATTTCATGAGTTCTTTATTTCATGGACTTAAATCTTCGGACATATTTGTGAATACATTATTTCATAAATGCTGATCTAGAAATGACTTAAAATTTGTGAATGATGAGCTGTTAGTGACTTCATTATCAGAAATCAGGTCAAACATGGATGCCATCCAGAGTTATTTTTGTATAAATAATTACTGGGGAATTGAATTTTTGATCCCCCCTCTCCCTTGATCTTAAATATAGGTCAAGGTCAATTACTTAAACAAAGTGATAGCCCTTTATACAATAATATTAAATAACCAATATCAACAGCATGGACTTTTTTGTTATTGAGAAGAAGCCATTTATTCAAGCATCATACATTCCCAATAGCAGCCCTCTGGGCCTTTTGGTAAATGAGAAGAAGTTTTTTAAAGATTTTAACAAATTTGACCCCTGTGATTTTGAAAGTAAATCAAGGTCATTCATTTTGATAAACTTGGTAGTCATTCATCCCATCATGCAACAGGCCCAATATCAGCACCCTAAGCCTTTAAGTTATTGAGAAAAAGTCATTTGAATATAAAGTGTACACATGGCTGGCTCACAACAACGAACAAAACACAATAATTATAGGTCATCCTCACCATTTGAGTCAGATGACCTAATAAAATATAACATCTTGTAAGTCATTATCATAGTGAATGAAATAAACAAACAGGCATAAAATTTACAACATACCATTTTGACAACATCCCTTTTACCAAGGGCAAAGTTCAGGATAATATACAACCAGACAATACAGGTAGACAGTGACAGAACAAAGATTTCATAAGGCCTCTCCATCCACACACCTTCTACCACGTACCATACACAAAATACTGAAATGAAAATTACAATTTCTGAAAGAATTAAAACATGCAACACCATTTTTACTAGTAAAACCACTTCATTTATAATGACCATAAATGACATAACAATACAGTTCAATGCTTATACTTACATTCCTTAAACATGTCTATTGATCTAAACTAAACAAGAGGCTCAAAGGGCCTGCATCTCTGCCTTGCTAATTAAGAGATTCAGTCATTTAACAAAGAATTTCATAAATAATTTCTCTATTGGGTTCAGGGTTCTTGTGGCCTGAAGTCAAATTTACTATTCATGAAAATTGTTTCAGACCAAACTTGGACAATACCCTTGTACAGAAGAGAGATTTTTAAGAACTTACATTTCCCCAAGGGACTGAAATCCACTGATTATATGGAACTGATTCCCCTTCACCGAAGGATATTGCAGACCAAATTTGGACAAAATCCAATCATTCCTACAGAAGTAGGATTTTAAAGAACATTCTCTATTTCCCATATTGGGCCCTGCCCCTCCTGCTTTCGGGGGGCAAGACCCACCATTTATCTAAATTGACCCCCCTTCACATACTACACACCAAATTTGGGCGACATCCAATCATTACTACAGAAAGAGCAGGATTTTAAAGGACTTGTAAAACTTCCCGTTTTGGGCTCTGCTCCTCAATCCCTGGGGGGCCAGGACACAACATTTGTACAAAACATGTTCCTTTCCCCCTTAGGGTGCTTCAAACACAATTTTGTCAAAATCCCCTCAGTCCTTCATGACCAGTAGAAAAAGTTGACAGACAGCTGCCAGATGCTGCAGTATTCCTATAGCTTACTTGACCATGTGGGCTAGTAAGCTAAAAATGACAGTTTTTGTGTATGCGTCTGAAGATTGTGAATGCACATTAATTGATCCATAAATATTTAATCATGTACACCACTAGTCTGTACTGCAATTAAACATCATGGTGACCTATTCCCACTTGGAAGGAATAAATTTTCAGACAAAACAGAATACATCCATCACAATAATGTATACAACTGCCCCAATATTGAAGCCTATGCTCCCTGACCAGACCAGGTTATTTCTGGGTCAAACCTTTCTAAATTTAGTACCTTATTTACTTGGCAATATACTTATCCAAGTATCTTGCTGTTCAATAAGTTATAAACTAAAGCTTATTCCCTGTCCTGTTATGTAATCTCTGTTTTTGCTGGTTTAATCATCCCATCAACAGTCCAGGTCACTGTAACATGGGGAGTCGTTATGATAGCTGTTAACTACTTCAATGAACATAATACTGGAGGCCCGTCACATACCATCCAGAGCAATTATAGTTAAATGTCTTATTTGATAACATAACTACAACTTTAAGTACATGACCATTCTGTTTCTCAGTTTTCTGAGAAATACAAACTGTAACAGGTAGGGATCACCCACGTAACGCATACATTTTTTATCATGTCTTCATTTGAGGTTGTAAACATCAACAGTATACTGACTAAGTTATGGCAGTCCCTACTAGCTATGATGGCCCATTGGGGTTATTTTGAATAAATATATCAGATACAAAAGTGAAAACTGAAATTCCAAATATTCTAAACTTTGCAGACAAATATAACCATAAGACAAGAAAAGGAACACAAATAAAACGGATGGTATTAATGTGAAAACAAATCTTTGAGCTCTGACTCTACCAAAACTGAGAATGAGTTGATGGCAAGTCCATGATTCTGAGATTCTACATACAACCAAACTACAACAACCTACTTACGTGTACTTAGAAGTAACACTAAGGCAAAAGAGAAATCATTGGAAGTTTTAGATAAAGTAGCAAGCTTCCATATGGTCAGTACGAGTGTGGCTGTCAGAGACAGGGCAGCCAGTACCAAAAACACATACTCCTTCCTTTGTAGGTCACTCAGGGTCCGTCTCTGAAACAAAACACATACTTAACTTACTCTGTTTATTGATCAGGTCTAGATCTTAGAAATGTGTTTCTGAATTAATAAACATTAATTTAAATGTAACAACAGTTGGAATTTTGTTCTAATTGCACCTAATATTGTCACTCTATTTATACTTTATTTCCTCCTTGTTTGAGGGGCCGTGGTGGCCAAGTAGTTAAGGTGTCTGACTGTCTTTATCACTTGCCATTTTGTCACTATCACTTTATCCATTTATATATTTATTTATTTTAACAGGCACAATGTCCACTATTACGACTTTTTGGTCTTTCAGTTGACGAGCTCTATCTTGGTTGCAGGTTTGAGGCCTATGTGGGGCAGTTACTAGCTACTGACCACTAGTCAGTGGTTTTTCTATTACAAGAGTTAAAGCTTTCTTCCATCATCCAAATCTGACACATCCTTAAATGACCCGGGCTATTTATATGACATAAAGAAATGATATAAGAAACTCCCTCCCTATTGGACTCAGAGGGATTCATTTTCCAGTATCTCCTAAAACCCTCCTTCCACCACCAATTCCCATTCATATTATCTAAGGTCATGACAAGAGGCCCATGAACCCTGTGACCTTGAAATTAGGTCAAGGTCTTTTATTTGCTGAATTTCATAGCATTCCATACACTTTACATGTTTCTGTTGGTGAAATATCAGGACTCTGGAACTTGGAAAGAAAATCAATTCTGTAAAGATTTGACCTTTAATTCAAAGATAAATTTATTTCATGAACTGGATGAAAATTTAAAACACTGGATGCTTAATACACTTTGTACCTGCTAGCAAAATATCTCGACTCTAGGTCTGCTGAAACTTGTTTGAATGTTGCAAAAGGATGCCACACCATACAAAAAGCTAAAATATTCAGGTGTCTTCAACTAGATTTGACATACTCAAACATTTATAAACTTGAGGAAGGGAATTGACACCGATATTAATTTGAGTTATGTTTTTTCACAACTAAGTAAGGAAATATTCCCCTTGGGATTTATCTTCTTATACTCAGCCCCAAGCAAAAATTGCTCTATACTGCTTAATCAGGCAAAAGTGCACTTTTCAGGGCATTTTCTGAGTGCCAACTTTTTTTTAGCAATAGGATGGTATTGTTTTGGGAGAATAAAGAGAAAAAGAATGTTATTATTGATTAAGAAATATCATATTTCTGGTAACTGGTATCAAATCTACTAATTTATCTTTGAAAAATGAGTAATAGTCATTTCAGTTTAATTAACATTTGGTCTAAAGGCCAATCAATACACCATTATATGTATCATGTACCATGAACATAAACTTTGAAAGAAAAAATAATAAAAATTACCAGAACATAATACCTGTTGCTGAGTGCCAACAAGTGAAGTTTTACAGGTAAATATACTGATATATCTACTTTAAGGGAAAAGACTGTATAAATGTTGGCAATCAGAGCTACACCCCAGTTTTCACCTTGGGCTGATGATGGCTTCTCCCTTGCATTAAACTTTCATTCTAGCCTTGTACAAAATTTAACTCAAAATATCTATTTTAGTATAATCTAACTTTATCTGGTGACAATCTACATGTTAGTCCAAGGTTACAGACCAGTATAATTTTGTATAAAAATTTTAATGTAAAATTAGCCTTGCGTACTTAAAAACAACTTTGGTCACCTACTTCAGGTAATTATGTATAACATCCTATTCTTACTCAAGTGTACCCATAAATGGCTCTTAAACTCCAGCATGACATAACCAGCAATGCGACGATGATGGACATTTTAAGTGCAACTTGTCTAGCTGGTAAAAAAATTAACAATGTAGTGCAAAAAGGAAAACAGGAATTGTGTTTAAATACCAAATATTTTAATTATGAATTTCAACCTCGCATTGTATAAATTGATAGGAGATTAAAAATAATCAATTGAAAAGTATAAAACTCAAAATGTTATTGAATTTTCTCAAATTTCTCAAGAATTTTATAATGGAAATTTGCATAAGAAAATAATTTGATATTTGTAATGATAACAATTGGGCTGCAGTTTTCATATACTGTAATTAGTCTTCATTAAAGTAAATTTGTAAATAAAGAATATAATTCACATGCATCGCTGTGTCATCTTTTCTATATCTTTACCTTACGTCATCATGATATGTCAATTTCTGGATGTCAACTGCTTGGTTTTAATTGACATTTTTATCTTAATTGACACTAAACACCTCTTCAACAAGGCACTTGACAAACTTGATTTATATACTCATTAAGATTATTGCACATTAATAATGAACCATGATAAAAACATCGTTGACATGAACAGGAAGTCATGTACAGTTTATTTACTGTCATAATTTATCTTGCAAACTAAATCAAGGGATGCAGAGATGTTTTATTTCTTAGCAAAAAAAAAATATAGTAATTGTATTGTTATTTTTAAAAATAAACTAATTGTGGATGCTTTTAAAATAGCGATTTGAAAGATCGCGGCATTATTTACGCAGAAAATTGCCGCTAGAGGGCTCTAACTCTTTTCGATATTTCAGCCAATGAGAAGGCCAGGATCGGTTAATTTTGTCTGAAAGGCCGTCGCAATAGGCTATTCGTATCGAGTACGTTTAGCCTAAAAACATACTTGTACCTCTAACAGGGAAGGGGGTGGGGTGTTTGATAAAAGGTAGAATTAATAGTTTGTTTCAAAACAGTACCTAAAATAGGGAAAGTCATTCTATAAGGCTCTTTCATATGTCAAGGGACAGGATCAGGATATTCCACCAGAGTTGTAACAAAATGTTGTAAAACTTGAAGCTTTGCCAAGGGTTTTACCAGATGTGTGACCTTACAGGTGAAATATCCCATCCTGCACCCTGACATATAAAAGAGCAATTTTTTCCTCATTTCTCACTCTAAAACATTGGGAAAAAGTAAATCCTTTCATTAAGTATTTAATTAATCACCAAAATGACATAGAAAATGAATTCTTCATACATGAGGTACCTAGATGCTGGAAAAATGAAAATAAGATACAAACAGTCTACACAAATAACTATTTGTACATATGTGTGTAAACATTTAACAGGTGATGATGGCACTTGGGAAGGGACGCATCTCATTTCTTTGCATGCTTGTTTGTTATGCATCGGTGGATGTGATATACAAGAACAGCAGACCTAGGTGTATTAATTGCCCTGAACAGACCTGTATTACCTGGGTTGGAAAGGAAAGCAAAAGAGACAGAAAACATGTAACCAATATACCAACAACTTTGTATCAACAATGTCAAAATATCTAATCAAGTTGACAAGGAAATTTGTCTGCAGGCGGCATACATTAAGTGTACATATAGTGAGGATATGAGTACAGGTCATCCTACTTGTCTAGTATGAATTTCCCTTTAGTCAAGTGGTAAAATGTCACCCTTTATCTAAAGTAATACAAGAGGTTGTCTGTTTGCTTCTCAAAACTCTACAGCTGCTTCACTGGAGATAAATCAACCTTTATATTATGATTAAATTTTATTACCTTTGTGTTTTGTTATTTTTCCTTATTTCATATTTTTCATCAGCATTCAAAGCCATAGGCCTCATTCCCATCGATAAAAAGGCAATGTACTCCCTCTCAAAATAATACATGTGCGTCAGTGACAAATTTTTATGTTTACCAGGCATTGCTTCATTCTCTGTTGTTGTCTATATATTTTCCAAGTTAAATGATTATTGTTACATGTAATGTTATTTATTGTTAATCGAACAAGATCCCATTAACAAACCCAGTTTGAACAACATAGCATCACAATTTCCTCCTACAAATTTCTCAAAACTGTTTAGAGTGCAAATATCATCATGCTACACAACTCTACAGTAAAAGTCAGATTTTGCTTTCTTCTTTCCATTGTTTAAGCTGAAAGGAAATCGAAAATTCTATTTAAGTCATACATGTTGTAATTACTTACAGTCAAGTCCAAGATGGCTGCCTGTCGGCCATTTTGTTTAAATATTATCAGTCCAAAAGTCAAAAGGACAAACTGTGGAGTAAGGGGAACTACATGTATGTTTGAAAACTAAGAAAAGACATAGCTAGTACATTGAAATTCTCAAGAAATAATGATAATAAACATTCATTGTCAAAATCAAAATCCAAGCTGGCCATCTGCTAGCCATCCCCCCTGATAAATCCTGATTTAAAAAGCGGAAATCTAGGGATTAAGGAGAATATATATACTTTGTGAAATTTGAGAAAGCACTTCTCAAAACATAGCGGTAACACAGGTTGTTTTATAGACAGATGACAACAAAGGGCGATATGAATATCCCACCTTTTAAAGAAAATTATCAGCAATAACATATATAACGTTATAATACATATTTGTAGCCATGAATTTACGCGTGAATGTCGACAGAATACGGATGGATATATAGTTGACAACAATAAAATCCTGCAACAATTCGAATTAATTTGCTCTAATGCTTATTTTTCATTCGAGAACTTAGAAATTACCTTGCCAAGGCCAAAAGGTGCGTCTGGGAGTCGTGGTACCCCTGCGTCTGGAATCAAATCTTTAAAAGTTATCGGGGCGGTGTCTGGTCCACTTTGTTGCTCATTGCTGTCCGTCACTACTCCACCCTCAGCCATATCGTTTATGTCGGTATTTTCGTTGGTTTTCTGTTAATTCATATCCTGAAATTGATCAATAATACAAAACATGTGTTATGCCCTGTAAAACGAACGATGCTGTATGTAAATGTGATCTGTCACCGTCTTATACTTTATGCTTTAGTCCAATCACTTAACCTACTTTCGGTTTGTCTAAAGGGAAGCAATTTACGCAAAATCGGCATCACAAAAATGTTTCTTTAACATATTTTTCGCGCAGACGCTTCTTGACCTGAAAGGTTGTCTGCTAGCTATATGCTAGACTACAATATTTAAGCTTTTAAATCGTAGTCACCACCCTATTTGTAAGTATGAGTTTGTATTCGATAATTTCAACTATATTGTCAAATGTTAACTTTATGCGGCACGTGTTCTAGTCCATCTGTCAACAATACAGTACCTACAATATGTAGTAAGTTACAATGCATATACATGCACATCTTTGAGCAAGTCACCAAGTGACCAACAGTTTAACTGTTGCTGTCAAAATGCTTAATCATTAGAAACTAAATATATTATGTAGTAAATTATATCGGGATGACGTAAATGTCATGATAATTTTTTTTATCAAAAGTCAGCTACATTGTAGTACACAGGAATCGGACATTCTTCACATGAATATGTCTGCTATTTCATTAGTACATGTATAGTCACAGACTTTGATATAGAAATATCTGTCCTTGGCTTAGCTTTATGTCTGTGGTCAGAATGAAAATAGTGCTTATATAATACATGTACATTGTAGGACATACAGATGTGATTTTTATTGCAATCATCATAAACATATTTCAAAATCTATATAGAATCTAGGGATTTTTACTCATTTAATTTTTCAGATAATTACTGAGTAAGTAGGTGTACAAGACTCACCTAGAAATGTGATGAAACAGGGTGAACATTGCTCTTTGATGATTTTATATAGTGCATCCTTTGAACCCTAAGTACATTTTATTGTAGCCTGATTTTGCAAACATGATGGGATCTAGAGGGAGGTTGCTGCACTGTGCCTGCAGAAGTGGTTTTCAACAACTAGTTCGAGGAAAGGCCTCACAAGCAGCAGCTGTCAAACCTTTCGTGTACCAAGACATGTTACAATTTGAAAATCAACCTGACATTAACTGGAAAAAACTTACTGGTAAAAAGAAACACATAGCTAGTGGTCAAGCATGGTCTTATTGGTCAAGCATGGTCTTATTGGTCAACTGTCCCAATCACAAATATCTATAGTGGTTACATTACTTGCCTGTTGTTCAACAAGTTTAAAATTACTCTAAATTAATAAAGATTTCGAACTTAACATATTTTATCGCAAACAAGCCCTCTCTTCTGGTGAGAAAGTGTTGACCATATACCAAAATCGGGGAAAGGGTCTTATTTGCAAGCAACTACCTGACAAACCCCACCTTATATTGTATATTTAATACAGTGTCCACCAACTTGCATTCCCATTGTATGTTGCTTTGACTGTAGATACCTGATATTATGAGGGCTTTTCACCATCTGGGGAAAAGTCTTTTTGGTATTCTTATGTTTCTTCTTCTTGTCGTTATTCTTCCTGAATTTGTAGACTCCATATCTTTTGATTGGTAGGAAATAGTGTTATGGCTATTTAATACTATGAAGGTATGTATCTGAAGATGTATGATTAACATTTTAAAGTAGGTCATAAATTCGAAGTGGCTGCCATGACATCATATGTTAATTAAAACTATAAAATAGCCATTTCTCAAAAATCATAGCCCGTTACGTATGAATTAGAAATATGTCAAATAAAAAAGTTTGCTGCTTGGTCAAAGGTAACAAATTTTGATTTTTTTTTCTTTTTTTTTTTTTTTTTTTTTTTTTTTTTTTTGTTTCTTTTGAAAAATTCTTTAATAGGTCAATGCAGAATGTGGGTCCGATGAATTTAATGTATTCAGGTTTTTCTTTACTGTTTACTGTCAATGTTGAATGCCATTTTTGAAAATTTCCTTTGATCTTTTAAAATGCCAACAAATTAATAAAACTTGTTTTAAGGCCTATATCAGTTACTTACATTTCACTTAATTATTATGATACTTGTTTCCCTTGATCCAGTTAGGGACATTTTCAACTTTATCAGATATAACAATAAGGCCACCATGACGAGATATCTGATTTTGCCCCTAATTGCAATAACTCATTAATGGCTAAATGTATTTAATTAATCTTTGGATGTATTTCTCAGGAAATTTGTTTTGTAAAATGTCAACTTGGGGTTTTCAGTATTGGTCAAAATTCAAATTTGAAATTTTCAGAAACAAATTTAAAATTCTAATTCTAATAGGCCTAGAGGCAAGATATTATGCATTTAAGATGGTCAGGATATTGCCTTATCAAGTTTGTTAATATAAATGATCTTGACTCATTTTTTAGGTCACAGAGGTCAATAATGTCAAAATCTTTAAATAGATTTTTCTCAATATCCAAGGGGCACAAAGTGATGAAATTTTAGCCAGTATACTTTGCTCAGTTGCTGTTGAATGTTCTAATCAAAACTTGTCTAAAGTTTCAACTTCTGGTTCTCGATAGGTGTCAAATTTGAAATTTATTTCAGCCTTGATATTTCATACATATGAAGCTCTGTTAACTGGCTATCAAATTTGTCAATTTAAATGACCTTGACCAATTTTCAAGGTCACAGGATACAAATACTTAAAGATATTTGAATAGTTTCAATGACCAACACAAAGCTGAAATTTTGCTTTTTTGTGTAGCAAACTTTGAAACACTTCTCAAGTGCCACAATGTCCAGAGCCTTGATATTTCACATGTAAAATGGTCCTGTCGTTAGTTATCAGCTTTGATGATATAAATAACCTTGATTTCGTTTTGTATTCTCTATATATATGTACATCAGTATATTTATCTGCTATATCACATGACAACAGGGCTGACAATTATAGAACTAGCAAAGGATAATGATAGATGTAACTGAAACTACATGTGGGTTAGTATCGGTAAACAAATATCATAAATCACTAGAGTATGTGGTTCACTTTTCAAAAATTAAAATTAGTTTGGAACATATGTACTGTACTTCGACTTTGTGAGTTCTTTTGTCTGTTGAAATATCATGTTATATTTTTGTACTATTTTTGAATTACTGGGTACATAAATAATACTGTAAGTTATGTTTCACAGGTGACCATGTATCAACATTTGAAGTAAAAGGAAAGAAAATGCTGCATGTCCAACCTGAAGCTCTGACTTTGATTGCTGAGCAGGCAATGGTAGACATTGCACATCTTCTTCGTCCGGGCCACTTACAGGTAAATCTACAAAACATTAAATTCTGCTCACCATACAGTTACACATAACATTCTTTTCCTATTCATAAAGTGGATATTAAAAATGTTACCGTCACAAGTGTCGCCAAAGATTATCTGAAATTGCTGCAAGTGGCACTTTCAATTGAATGTTTGCAGATATAAATACACATCAATGTCTACCTTTTTATGATTATGTATAATCTATTACATTATGTTAAAAATTTTCAGCCTTACAGAAAAAGTATATACATATTGTGGTTATATATTGTATAATCAATTTACTGAAAACACAGTTCAAATGATTGTTTGAATTCATTTATTTTGATTTATGTTAAATTCATAATGGCACCATGCATAAGATAGGAACGTTAATATCCACATATGAACTAATAGCCGTTATGGATCTATTAATAGTCACGGTACACATATCACGTGACTCTACTGTTTACGTCATGATATAAGGGTGCCCACTTTTTCAGTACTTTAGGTCTAAATTTCCACTGGATTGGTGTCCTGATGAAGCCCACCATGTTCAGGCGAAACCGGTCGACAAACCAATAAATTTACACACACCTTACCCTGAGCTTGTTGCGATTGATATTTGTCTTTGATTATTTGAATTTCTGTGTTAAAGCAATTGGCCAACATTTTGAGTGACCCTGAAGCATCCAACAATGATAAGTTTGTAGCCTTAGAATTACTGAAAAATGCCAGCATAGCTGCAGATATGGTCCTGCCAGGATGTCAAGATACAGGCACAGCAATCTGTATGGGTAAGTCACCATTGTCTTGCAGTGATGCAGGCCCATTTGGCCTCCTGTTTGGAGTTCAAATCCTGAAGTAGAGGTATAACTTTAAAATCCCTTTTCTTCTGTTTGAATGAATGCTGTTTAACCAGATTGTTTTGCAGGAATCCCCATATACCAAAATTCATGTCAAATATCTTTGCATGAAGGGGTGAGGGGGATTCAATTATAAGTAAAACAAGGGTTTGCACAGGAGCAGGCCCAAATAAGGGAATCAAAAGTAAGGGTTTGAAATCATTGTTTCTTGCTTGGATGATTTTAAGGTATTTTATCAAAATTTAGTTGAGGCTTTAAAATTTCTTGTCTTTTGCGGGGGAAATTTAACAATATCACAAGTAAAGATATTTTGCAGAAATGAAAGCTGAAACACTCAAATGAGTGAGACAGTCCCCTTTGGTCACTTGTTTAGTATGTATATTATCTCTTAAAATCTAATCTTTTAAAGAATCATCATTAGAACAAATGTTAAGATTTAGAAATTTTGATTACCAGTGTTTTAAATATATTTTGCTATCTTGTGGAAACATATTTAATGATTTACTTTGAAGTTGTCCCAATGGTTTTCTGAATCTAAGGAATCTTCATGAAATCTAAATTGGCCTGATACATCATCTGGTGATGTTTTGTTACAGGCAAGAAGGGTCAGTATGTATGGACAGAGGGTGGAGATGCTGAGGCATTATCTAAGGGAGTCTATAACACATACCTGAACAGAAATCTCAGATATTCACAGGTAATTTGTTGCTATTAATCACATGTCTGGTAATAAGCCCACCTGTATCTTTTTATTACTTTTTTTTGTAATAATAACCCCTAGAAGTCTACAACACCTAAGGTCTGTAGAACATCTGACTTGATGAAGAGATTCATCCCTTCACATGTTGACCTCTTAGAAAGTTGAGATCATGGACCATCCTATGCTGTTGTGGTTGTGTCCTTCTGCAAGACACTTAAAGCCAAATTCTTCAGAAAGCATTTGATGGTCCTCTCATATATTGTTCAGTGAGGTAGCCACCAGCTTCTACAAGGAGACCTTCTTCACAATAACCCTGGCTGTTCAGGGGGCAATAAATCTATTCAATAAACTACAACATATGCTGAAACAAAAATCTCAAATGTAGAGATTCTATTACTTGTATGTTATTTATCAATCTTTTGTGTGCAAGAGAGATTCTATGATTTTATTTTTATGTAACATTGTTGAGTAACATATTAATTTTCTGTGATGATTTTAAATATGTTTTCTTGTAAAAAAATTAATAACTGTTTGGTATGAGGGAAAAACGTATTAATTTTATGTGATGTTTTTATCATGTTCTTGGAAATAGTTCAATAATTGTTTGGTGTAATTGAAAACAGAATTATGAAATTTGATTGAACATGTAAAGCTGATCTCAATTGGGGAAAGAGTGGTATTCTTTTATACAATAAACTCAATTTCTAATTTAACCGATGACTTAAAGTAGAGTGTTGTAACATAGATTTTGTTTATTTCAATTAAACAAAGGTTAATTTTGTCTATTTCAATAAAACCACATAAAAAAGTAAGGGTTTATCATACATGTACATATCAAAGACTGGTTATTCACATTGATTTGTCTTTTGTTCATAGGTGGCGCCACTGGATATGTACAAGGAGGTTAATACAGGCACAAACTTGCCTGCCCAGATAGAAATCTATGCAACAGAATCAGGCCAGTATGACTTCCTGTTTCTCGCCAAGGGCGGTGGTTCTGCCAATAAAACCTTTCTCTACCAACAAACTAAGGCCCTCCTTAACCCAGAAAAACTCCTCAGCTTTGTCAATGAAAAAGTGAAGGTATGACCATTTTTTAAGTGCATCAAACATTATTGTAAGAATTAAACAAAGCCAAGTACAAAAGTGTTTCCATGTAAGGATTCCAAAACTTCAAAATATTTGTTTCAATAAATTTTATCAATGTTTTTATCTTGGAGAATTCTTTTTTCTGCATTCATATGAGAATATGAAACTAAATTGCTTTAAAAAGTGTCTCAAAAAGTCATACATATTAGAATGTCTTTAAGATCCTCGAAGCTTTGATTTCAATTCTTTCAATCAAAGATTCATTCTGTATAAGAAAAAATTGGTGCTGATAATTTGGAGATTCAAGTCAGCTCAATGGAAGTGATAAAAAATTAAAATAACTAATAATGATGGCAGGGTTAAGTGTAATGTATATATATTTTTTGTTATTCTTTTATTTTTTTTTTATTCTTTATAGCTTTAGCTTCAGAATGTTGACATCACTTTGGTTTACGTTAAGACTTTACTCATAAATGAAAATAGAAGATTTGCTTATACTTCTGGAACACCTGGTCTTATCCTTTTAGTGTTGTTTCAGGGACCATCTACATACTTGTTTTGTTAATAATTGCCCTGGTTTGTTGATTATGATGGAATAATACCATTTTGTTTACTCAGTGGTTCTGTTGTTTATGTTTACTCTCAGACACTAGGTACTGCTGCCTGTCCCCCGTACCACCTGGCGCTGGTCATTGGTGGTACATCAGCGGAATACAATCTAAAGACGGTCAAACTGGCATCTACAAAATATCTGGACACTCTTCCCACGTCGGGTGAGGCAGTTTTTATCTGACCTACTGTAATGATTTGATTGGTTAGGAATTGTAAAAGAAGAAGTATTAGACGACTCGATAGCCTATCTATTTCCGTAATTGATTCATCGGTAATAAACACTCCGTGCATTTACAGAATACAAAATGTTTTGAAACATGTCAGCAATCTTCTGAAGGTATAAGTTCTCTATTGTAGAGGGTCTGACCATGTTTTCATCTCTCTAGGAACCTTATTCTACTTTATACAGTGAGGACAAAAACTTACTGATTGAGGGACATTGTGTCATTTTGATTTTGGGACTGATCAGAAAAGAAGAATGGCTAATAGATGGCTATATCACATTGAGATTATGGCAAGACAATGATTAAGTAGCATTTCTACATAATTTGTAATATAAATGGTTGGGCTTAATACCAGACAGAAGCTTGTTCCTGGATAAATAATATAATCCATTTCCAAGAAAGTCCCATATCTATTTGAGCAAACTTTTATCAATTTATAATTTTTTATTTAAACAGGGAATGAACATGGTCGTGGATTTCGAGACTTAGAATTAGAACAGGAGATACATAAATTAACACAGCGCCTTGGTATTGGGGCCCAGTTTGGTGGAAAATATTTCTGTCATGATGTGCGTGTAATTCGTCTACCTCGACATGGTGCCTCCTGTCCTGTAGGGTTGGGAGTATCATGCTCAGCTGATAGGCAGGTAAGCGATATTTGATAATAGCTTGAATTCTTGTTGCAAATATTTTTACTTTGTCTTTGACATAAGTTTCATGATTTTAATGTATTATTCAGTTATAAAAATTATCAGATCTGAAGTATGAATTTATAGTTTCAAAAGGTTTAATGAACAAAAATAGAAAAAGCAAATTTTTCCTGCAGTGGAATATCACTGCAGGGGTAACATTAGTTTTCTCCGGTGACAAAATTGTTTTCATTGATTTTCTTCAACAGATTGTTGGTAAAATTACAGAAGAAGGAGTATTTTTAGAACAGCTGGAAACAAATCCATCGAAATACCTACCTCAGATTGAAGAGAAAGACCTAAGTGAAACTGTTATAGAAGTATGTAGATATTTTGTTGGAAATAAGACATTTTTTCTTGTAAAGTACGTATATATTCACTTACTCCAGGCACAGTCTGCTATATAGCAGAAGAGATCATTTATGAATCTGATCTAAATGTATTGATTATTCCAACATGGTCTTTGAGTTTAAAGTTGAGAAAAGAATTCTTGTCATGAATATGCATGAAACACTTAAGTGTTTTAATAGAGATGCATATTTGTGAGGTACCTCTGTGTTTAATGATGCATATGCATAATATACTTCTATGTTGAGAAATGTATGTGCTTGTGTGTTGTTGTTAACTCTGTGTTGAGAGATACATATATACTTGTCAATCTAGTGCCCTGAAATCAATACATTTGGATGTTTGAATTGCCTCTACACACTTGTGAAGAGTTTTCAACACTTTGACTTATCAGAAGTAATTTATTTACATTTCAATGAGAAATCTGAACATTTCAGGTAAATTTAAATCAACCGATGAATGAGATGTTGTCACAGCTGAACCAGTACCCAATCAGAACTCGTCTTACTCTGACAGGGACCCTGATTGTGGCAAGAGACATCGCACATGCCAAACTGAAGGAACGACTTGATAGTGGAAATGGACTTCCCCAGTACATCAAAGATCATCCAGTGTATTATGCTGGTCCTGCAAAGACTCCAGCAGTATGGATTTTTGTTTTCTATTTCATTCTCTAGAATGAAAATTTATGTTGCATTCTCTGAAGTTTTTTGGAATATTTATGGTGAAATAGCAATCACACATGTTTGTGAAGTTTTATGGAATATGTTACGTGGTAATTTAATAAAGTCTTTATAACAATTTCTAAAGCTCACATAATTTTCATGTTTATGGAGGCCATCACACATGTTTGTGTATGTTACATATATATAAATATAATGTGTCAACCGATTGCTGGTGGAAAGATTACATTATCTGACGAACTTAATATACATGCTGTATTTTATCAGATGTGTTTATACATACAACAAAACACATCAATTGAAATCAAGTCCTCTTGCAGTTGAAGTAACACTTTACAAAAACAAAAACAAAAAAATTAAAATCAACAAAAAAACAAAATTGCATTGCCCCCACCCCCCTAAAAAAAAAAGAAAAAAGATAAAAAAAAAAAAAAAAAACCCACAAATAAAAAACTAAATAAAAAAAACAAGACTCATTTGATAATATTTTTTTTCTGAAAAAAGGATATCTTTTAAATTGTTTTTGATGGTGATTCTGTTAGTGTTTTTGATGTACATGTTATATTTTAAACTGATATGTGTGCATATGGTACACAAGTAATCTATGTCAGGATTGAATCATTTCATCCTCTGTATTGCAGGGTTATGCTAGTGGATCATTTGGCCCCACAACTGCTGGAAGGATGGATTCTTATGTCGACCAGTTCCAGGCAGCTGGAGGCAGCATGGTCATGTTGGCAAAGGGCAACAGGAGTCGAGAGGTAGGTTAACATCACATATAGTGTATTTATACTGTAATAAATACAATTTAGGCAAAAGAGTGAATATCCTTTAGTATGGGTAATATGGCTAACTAATATTTCTTATTCCTTAAAATAGTTTCATGTGTGAATGAATTTCATGAGGAAAACTTGAATGGATTCTCTATGTCAGAACAAAATATCCTGAAGGTATAAGTTATGTAATTGATTGAAAATTTAATATCGCTAAATTTAACTCTAGCATGGTCTATTCAGAAGAATTGAAATCACAGAATTTTTATTTGAACAAGTTATTAATGTTTAAATACATTATCAGAGATTTTGTCTGAATATCCTTTTTAATACCCATATCCATTGTAAAACACCGATAATTTAGCAGATAAGTGATAAATGAATGATATGGTTGTTAGGTGACTAAAGCCTGTAAAAAACATGGTGGATTTTACTTGGGGTCAATTGGAGGTCCAGCGGCTATTTTGGCTGAAAACTGCATCAAAAGCGTGGAAGTCATGGAATATCCAGAATTAGGTAAGCTGAGTATTGTGTCACTGCTTTGAATATTATCATGTAATTGTCAATTTAAAAATCGTCTTGAAATTGTAAAATTTTGAATTAAGCATCATGAAATATGTAATAATGCTTTTTATGAAAGGTTAGATGGTATTATGAAATATCACATTATGAGTTGGAGGATAAAAATGGGATCTGCTGTGCTTTTCTTTTATTGTGTGAGTCTTGATATTGCATTCATAGTGGGTATTGACATTTCTGAAAAAGTGCTTTCCAACTGTTCCATATAACTGATTTATTTATATGTGATTCTCGGTATAATGCTAAAATGACAGTATTTTCTTTAAAGGCGAAAATGAATAAGAGTTATCTCCCTTGATACTTTATGAGCGTGTATTGTATAACTGATGGATTTCAATCTGCATACTTGTGACTGCAATTCCTTTATTTTTTTTTTTTACTGTAAAAAATATACTGATCCCCATTAACATTATCTGCTAGTTTCCTTTCCAGCATAATTTACCAATACAAAACTATGTACCTTAAATTTTAACTTTTATGCAAATAAAAATATCATAATTTCATGCTTGTCTCTTTTGCAGGTATGGAAGCTATATGGAAAGTAGAAGTTGAAAATTTCCCAGCTTTCATTGTGGTGGATAATAAGGGAAATGACTTTTTTAAGGAATGGCAGGTGGAATAATGATTCTACCCAGATACATAAGGATGTCAAAATTCATATCTAACTGTGAAGGAATTAAAAACAAGCCCATGTTGATGGGAGATATTAAATATTTTTATAATAATTTGGGCATACTATGCACAATTACTGCACTAAAGTTAGATATGTCATCAAATGTGCAGCTAAAAGACCTAACAGTAGTTCTTGATTATTGGAGTACACTATTATTATGAGAGACGGGTCAAATATTCTAATCTGATCATCATGTTGTGTGGTGGAAAATTTTATATTGCGACAGAATTCTTGATCATGTATTTGAGTTCTTGATATCTAAAGTCATAAAAAAAATCCTGAAGATATTGTGGATTTTGTGATTGAATTATTAATCGTAAGATGTCATTGATTATTGATTGACTGGTAGGCTGATGATAATATCTCAGGATTCATAAAGATTTCTTGAGAAACATTTAGAAGTTCAGATATAAGCTATAATGAATTACAGGGCTATTTCAGTAAAACATCTTCTTGAGACCTGGACGTTAATAAAAACAACTTCTATCGATGGTTTGATTATCTGCCTTATATTCCTAAGCAAATTATCTCTTTATTTGTATGGATGGTATCTCTAAAGCAAACCTGAGGTGGATTAGATGTTTTACTGGAATAGGCTCAAGGTGATGTAGATGTTTTACTGGAATAGGCTCAAGGTGATGTAGATGTTTTACTGGAATAGGCTCAAGGTGATGTAGATGTTTTACTGGAATAGGCTCAAGGTGATGTAGATGTTTTACTGGAATAGGCTCAAGGTGATGTAGATGTTTTACTGCAATAGGCTCTAGGTGATGTTGATGTTTTACTTGAATAGCCCTAAACAAATCTTAGAAACCTGGAGTGGGGTACATGTTTTACTGAAACAGAACTGGGAAACTTAGGATGAGATAAATGTTTTACTATGATGGGCCCGAAACAAAACCTGGAAACCTGGGGAAGGGTAGAAAAGCTGGAAACCTAGGATTGGATAAAACTTTTTACTAGAGTGGACCCTAAACAAAACCTGGAAACCTAGGAATACATGTTTTACTGGAATATCCCTAAAGAGCCTGGAATTTTGGGTGGGATAGATGGTTTACTGGAATAGGCCTGAAACAAAACCTGGAAACCTTGGGGTGGGATATATATTACTAGATTATCCTGAGGATTAATTCAAGAAATTTGTCTATGACTGATTATGACAATGTTATTTATTGTACACAAGAATTATTTTTTAGTTAGTAAATAGATTTTCAAATCAATGAAAAGCTACTGAAATAAAGTCCTCATGAAAAACTGATAATGTATTTTGTTATTTGTATATTAGTACAAAATTGAATGAAGGAGCTGTTCTAAGGGATCATAACAAACACAATTGACAAAAGTATTTAAGATCTCTTTTTTTGGGTATTTGCAGTATTTAAATTAGATTCCATTGATAACTTTTGATAGATCAATTGAGTTGACCCATCAGTATGTTAGGCTTATTGCCCTGTGAAATGTCAGGGTCATTTTTAGGCTGAGTCTGTATTTAGTAGCCGGTGGTTGCCTCATTGAACACCATAAGGGAGGTCTGTCACATGCTATTCAGAGTAATAAGGTTGAGATGGCTTTGCTAATGACACAACCAAGACAGCACAACCCGGAATGTTTCTCACCTTTATGATTAATGTTGTGTTTGTAAAATAAGTGGTTACCAAATTTCTGTGGAGAAACACAAATGAAGAGGTAATCCTACTTTTTTATCTGACCTAGCCAGAAGGGCCAATGACCTTATGCTGTGTTGCGACATCAAGCATTGGGCGTCTGTCAGTTGTCCATCAACTTTTTTCTTCAAACAACTTCTTCTAAATAACCAATGGACTAAATGTTTTGATATTTTACTGGTATGTTTCTAAGATGAAGCCTGAAAGTTTGAGAGGAAATGATCTTGACCTATATTCAAGGTCACAGGGGTCAGATATCTAAAAAGCTTTAAAAGACTTCTTCTTAGAACTAAAAGGCCCAGAGACATGATATATGGCTGGCATGTTTCTATGATGTAGCTTTACAAAGAAAAAGACATTACCTTGGCCTATGTTCAAGGTCACAGAGGTCAATTTGTGAAAACCCTTAAATTACTTCTTCTCATAAACTAAAAAGCCTAAAGGCAGGATATCTAGCTGCTTTGTTACTACGATGTATCTAAGCAAACTTTGCAAAAATTAATGACCTCTACCTATATTCAAGGTCGCAGAAGTCAAATTTGTTACAACCTTTAAACGACTTCTTCTCGTGAACAAAAGCTCCCAGACATATGATATTTGGCTGGTATGTTTCTTTGATGAAGACCGATAGAGTTTGGAAAAAGAAATTGTCTTGACCTATGTTCTAGGGCAAAGGAGTCAAATTTGTTGAAACATTTAAATGACCTCTTCTCATGAACTAGAGACATGATATTTAGCAGGTATATATATGCAGTGCTCACCTGGTATATATATATGCACGCCTATTGGGCCTCTTGTTGTTGATGGACTTTATTCTACCAATTTAAAACCCATTACCTACCTCACTCCTTTTTTTAACGGTTCTCTTAATCAGATGTTAAAACATCGATAATAATTATTTGATAAACCATTTTGCGGTCAAAACTCAATTGCGTGGACAACATGTATACATTGCATTGACTATTCTCATCGAATTTGAGTTTGATCTAATATTTTATTGATTTATCGCTATTTCCATTGTTGTGTTGACATCTTCCTTTGTCGAGACCGTAGCACTAAGGTGGGACTCTCAAAGCCCTGGGACTGAAAAACTTAAAGATGAATCAATACTTCAACAAACGCCACGTGAATCGTGTACCATTTCTATAGATAGCTCATTCACAGCTTGCTGAATGAGATTTTAACACCTAGTCCATCATACCTTTTCTATAAGCTTTTCGGGCATTGTAATATCAAGCTATGATATTCATGTTTGTTAGGAACACTTTGAACGCTGTGGCTAAATTTTGGAGAAGACCATCGTGTCTTGAAATAGACCAAATACATCTTCACTTCCGATCAGGTTAAGGTCGAGTGCGTCACCCGCCAAACCAGTGATAGATAAATTTATTACGTACAGTTAATAAATACTCTCTTATTAGTGTTTCAACTCCAATTATATACATATGCATCTATATTGTTATGATCACTTGAGAGGAGCTTTGACAGACCGAAGGTTCCTAGTGTTTCAAATGTGAAGTCAAAATTTCATGGCGCCATATATATTTATGACGTCAACAAAGCGAGAACAGTTGACAATGTAGATTTTGTCTTAGTCAAATAACATGCTGTTTTCCTCGAATGTCTACAAAAGAATCTTATTTACTTGATAAACAAAATCTGACATTTGTTTTTACTCTATAAGCTAATTAAGATATACACTGTACTGTATTAAATGATGAACTTGCTGGTGAGATACTTAAACAAATTAAAGGCAGACCACAAGACCTTGCCAAGTGCTTCAGTTTTACTTTTAGATATATTGATATCTTGTTTTGATGTAATAAGAAATTCATTGACCTTTTTAATCAGTATTTTATTGTTGTTATCTATTTAGAGATGCGTCCCTATATTTCTAAGGTCGGTTACAAATGATAAAACAGGCGTGTCGATAATAACATACACAATCTGGACGCGCTCCAGTGGTCATTCCAACTAGTGTGACGACAATGATTAAATGTTCACTACTTCATCTTGTCGCGAAGTGTTATTTAACCGGGGTAGACTACAGTTTTGCGTGATGTTTGTCTGTCCTTAGTTGTGTATGGAAGACGGGTGGAAATTGTCTATGTATGGGAGAGTGATGGAAGTTACCAGTGTATGGTAGATGGATGGAAATTACCTGTGTATGGTAGAGGGGTGGAAATTACCTTTGTATGGTAGAGGGGTGAAATTACCTGTGTATGGTAGAGGGGTGGAAATTACCTGTGTTTGGTAGAGGGGTGGAAATTACCTATGTATGGTAGAGGGGTGGAAATACTTGTGTATGGTAGAGGGGTGGAAATTACCTGTGTATGGTAGAGGGGTGGAAATTACCTGTGTTTGGTAGAGGAATGGAAATTACCTGTGTATGTTAGAGGGTGGAAATTACCTGCGTATTGTAGAGGGGTGGAAATTACCTGTGTAGGTAAAGGGGTCGACATTAGTTGTGTATGGTAGAGGGGTCGACATTAGTTGTGTATGGAAGAGTGGTGGAAATTACCTGTGTACCATAGAGGGATGGAAATTACTTGTGTATGGTAGAGGGGTGGAAATTACATGTGTATGGTAGAGGGGTGGAAATTACGTGTGTATGGTAGAGGGTGGAAATTACATGTGTATGGTAGAGGGGTGGAAATTATCTGTGTATGGTAGAGGGATGGAAATTACCTGTGTATGGTAGAGGGGTGGAAATTACCTGTGTATGGTAGAGGAGTGGAAATTACCTGCGTATGGTATATGGATGGAAATTACCTGTGTATGGTAGAGGGGTGGAAATTACGTGTGTATGGTAGAGGGTGGAAATTACATGTGTATGGTAGAGGGATGGAAATTACCTGTGTATGGTAGAGGGGTGGAAATTACCTGTGTATGGTAGAGGAGTGGAAATTACCTGCGTATGGTATATGGATGGAAATTACCTGTGTTTGGTAGAGGGATGGAAATTTTCTGTGTATGGTAGAGGGATGGAAATTACCTGTGTATGGTAGAGGGGTGGAAATTACCTGTGTAGGGTAGAGGGGTGGAAATTGCCTGTGTATGGTAGAGGGGTGGAAATTACCTGTGTATGGTAGAGGGGTGGAAATTAGTTGTGTATGGTAGAGGGCTCGACATTAGTTGTGTATGGTAGAGGGCTCGACATTAGTTGTGTATGGTAGAGGGGTCGACATTAGTTGTGTATGGTAGAGGGCTCGACATTAGTTGTGTATGGTAGAGGGGTGGAAATTAGTTGTGTATGGTAGGGAAATTATAAGTCTAATTTTAATTAGATTGATCTTCTTTTGAAAGTTAACAACAACAGTTCTGTTTATAATTCCCTGACGCAAACTTAAACTGTGCGAAATTTATGATACAAATCACCTGTCTGAATGCCTAACTACAGAACGATTTAATGGCAGTTTATCGCCTCGTTGGCATCAATGGTCCGCCAAATTTTTAATTTCCCTTCGAGAGGATATTTGTTGTCCACAAGAAACCTCGGCTATTGACAGCTGAAGGGGTTGTTTGATTATATTGTATGATTTGTAAGGAGAGAGTCACTGACGATTTGATAATATGTTCTACGTTGATTGAATTGGCACCTTGATTGAGTGGCTCTCACGGAGCAGTACTTAAGTTATGATAACCTGGGCCTGTATTCACGAAACCGTTCTCATGCTCAAGGATGTATTTTGTGCTCAAGCCTTATGTCTTTTCCAAGTTGAAAATTAATAAACAAGACAGATTTCGCCAAAGATTAAAAAAATATATTGAAAGGACTTCAAGTAAAAGTTATAATGAATGTTTATATTTGACATTTGTATTATTTTATATGATTTAGGCGAATTATAAAAAAAGTCTGCTTGAGCACAAAATCTATGCTTGGGCATGAAAATGATTTCATGAATACGGGCCCAGATCTCTAACGTCATAATTTACTACAACGCATGGAAAGACAGTTTCTTCTAATACTGACTGCTTTAGGCTGTTGCATTCTCTGTTTTGTCGTTATTTTGTGTTTTTATGTGTGAATTTTTTGTTGTTGTTTGTTTGCTCGCTTGTTTTGTTTTCTGTTTTGGAGGGGAGGGGCGATTTTTTAAAAATGAGTATTGTTAAACTCATACTTGAAATTGCTCCAGTTTCCAAAACACTTGTCAGTATGTCGGGAGGTACCTTTGGTATAAACTCGACTACCACTCACTTTAAAAACCTATAATTGATCTAATTAATCTAGACTTACATGGATGGTGGCGTTGATGAAGCAGAAGATTCTTACCCTTTTGGAACACGTGGTTTAATTCTCCTTGTAGCTTTTCATTGATCTCGTTGTAAGTCTTTTTGTTTTTATCTAATAATTATCTAAATGTTTTCGAATATATATTTTATTTAGATTTTGAATGTTTTGGCTCGTCGATAGTCTGCAGGTTTAGACATCACATTGCAAACTTACATGTAACTATTTTCGTAATAATACGAGTTTTTGTGATATGTCAATTTTTTCCATCGGTGCAGAAAAAATTGAAATATGGAAAGGGTTTTGTTTTTTCAAATGACGTCTATATTTTCAGCCACCCACCCACCCTTTTATATTACTTCTCTTTGTTTCTCCTTTTGTCCGTCCGTCCGTCCGTCTGTCTGGCTGCCTGTAGCTTTTATTTTGCTATTTATTTGCTATATTCTACTTGTTATAAAACAATTATTGTCTTCAATTGATAAAATTTCCATTTGCTCATTCTTACATTAATGTTATGCCGAAAGCCTTTAGAGAATTCCTATAACTGTAACGAAAAATATCAAAAGCATATTAAAGCCTAAAAATTGTGTAATGTTCATAATACAGTCATTGTTAGCCTTGCCCTAAAATAAATGCTTTTCGATTGATATACTGACAGGTAAATATTCGCGTTCTTACAAATCGAATTGTTAAATGAGAGTTACAACGTGCTGGGTATATACTTTGGTCTCTAATATGACACTACCAGAGACCCGTGTAGACCCTCTCGTATTTCGTGTTTCGTCACACAGTGAGCCTCAACAGCGTTTAACTTTTGATATATACACAAACACATTAATACTGAACTTCGATAGGTTTACAATAGCGCTACCTATACAAACATTACATATACAAATAATATCGCACACACTTATATATAGCGCGCGCACACAATAATCTTAATCTTTGAATGCTGGGTAAATGAATATACACTAATCAGGTCTGTAGATCATTTATGGAAGAAGTTATCGAAACCTATCCACGTTAATCTCACTCTAGGGAACCTAACGTCATCGGGAGGTCTAGTGGTAGTTAGTGGTCTCCAAACAAATGTAGTAAGTATATATACTTTACAAAGTCTTCACTTCGACATACAGATGTCACTTTTTTGCTGATAATTGACACTGAGGACGTCTGTGGGATTCGATTTAGGATTGATGCAGGGTTCTCTCGTTCGTCCACGAGCTCGGTGTTCTTTGCGTCCAGCCTCACCGAGCATGTCTACAACCGGAAGTACAACAGCTTTGAACATTGGGACAAGGACACAATCACACATCCCAATGAAACAAGTACGTGCGTCCAAAGAACAACAGGACAAGGAAAATGTCATTCCTTTCGTGCACGAGGACGCTTTCACAGACCTGGTGCTGATTGTTGAAGGCAAGCGTCTGCACACATCAACAGCACTTTTGTCCATGTGTTCCCCAGTGTTCGCTCGTATGTTAGCTACCAGTGCAGACGGCGATCAGTCGAGTAGTGGAAAAGATGGTGCTAGGCGGGAACTCCAGCTCCAGGGCAAGTGTTATGAATATGTGCACGAGCTGCTCTACGTCATTCATCCAGCCTATCAGAGGAAAGTTTCAGGTAAGTGTGAATAGAAATAACTATTGTTTGCCTCCGCCTGTGTTCAAATTAATTTGATTTAATTGAAGCTGATTGTATTATTGTAGTAACTTGTACAAAAGAAGATGTATTCGCCAAGTTATCATTACTCCGAAACACAATATCTTTAACAATTCGTTTTCTTTCTTTTTTAAATTATGGTATCATTTTTATTTATCTTGGTGTTAAATAAACGTTGAATATTCTGTGTAAAATCTCCAATTGAATATTCTGTGTAAAAATCTCCAATGAGACGACGCTGATATTCAAGACTTTGATATTAACGTGTCACAAAGTAATTTAAAAACTATTCATACCGGTGTGTGTGACTATAGATAATGGCAATATCATACTTTACAAACCGTTTATGACGTATTACATAGCTCGACACAATATTGCGTGTAACTTATGAAAGAAAAATAAAATCCCTTTATTAAGCATATATAGGTGTTGATATACTCCATGGAGGGTTATTATAAGCTGTATTGTTGAACAGCCTTTGTATGCTAACTACCCCACCGATATTTCCAAAGAGGCATTTAAAGGGTTATTAAACTACATTATTCAAAAGTATATACACCTTCATTAGTTCGTATGGATGCCTTTTAATTTAGATTGATAAGATTAAAGAAAAGATATTTATATACAGTCGAGACGTGATCGATCTGTTAATTACATTCTGATTGCTCCACTATCCGGAACCGATTTCTTGATGGTAATTGACGGGACGAATTTTAGAAATAGGTTTTCGAATCCGGTTATTGATTTTTATGTATGTATAATAAAATGATTGAATGGTTTGATTTTGTCCTGCATAAATTAGGATTTTTTTTTCTCTCCAGATAATCGTTGTGCTGTGTGCTACATCAAATAAGTTATATATATATGTGGTACAGGCATTGCATTTAATAAATTTCCATAAATTTTACACATGTCACAGCGGCGTGGGTTTCTATTGGCAAATGAAAAAAATAGACATGGCCGAAGACCCAAATATCTTTATGTATACATACATTTTGTTACCATTTCTGAAAGCCATTGTCATTTTCACCGGATTAATCTTGAGATTTTTTTTATCGAGATGATGTTCAACGGAACACTGTGAACAATCAACATGTTAAAAAAACAGCTGGAAAGGGTCAATCTGCGATTTGATAAGTAAAACCCAAGATTTTCAGTATGCAATGATGCATTGATGCAGAAAAGTAAACAGGGTGCTATATTAATCACCAATATACCGTCCCCATTCTTCTTCAATTATACAAATAGACTCATCAGTGACAAGCATCCTTCAATTCAAATTTAGAGATGTGTACAGCACAGTCATATAATGAATAAACATAACATTTATAAACCATGTCATACGCAAATTTCTTCATACATAAACCCCCCCCCTCCCCCTCCCCCCCTACCCTCAAAAAATAAATAAACAAACAAACAAACAAATAAATATACGAGTTTTTACGATATCATTTTGGGCGTTATGATATAACTGGTAGTAAAATGGTAAAACTTCGCCCATTAATATTCAAAACAGACAATTTCAGAAATATACAAAATATTTTATTAATTTATAACAAATTATAACAAGTTCATGTAATTAACGGGTTTATTATATTCAAAGTAATAAATTTATAGAAATAAATGATTACAAAAAACGCGTTTAGGGTTTATTCCACGTGTGATTTCATTTGTTTTCTTTATACAAATGTTGTTATGATAAACTGATATCGTGGGAGTTTGATAACTCCTATCTGTTGTAGTAGAAAATCCTATCTGTCATTTCACCTCTTTATACAACAAATTACAAAGTGAAATGAGAGATCTTTTATTTAGATTATATCGATATTGTTACACATGGTCTACATTTTTATTCCAGATGAGTTGGCGTTCGTTGTGTTACCCTTGGCAGAAGAATATCAAATCTGGAATTTGAAACAAAAGTGTGAAGAAACATTGTTAAACACACTGAATGTTGACAAGGCTGTTCGTGAGGATGTTCTGCTCAGGTGTTTAAATATGGCGGACGAGTTCAAACTCTTTGCTTTGTGGACAAAATGTTTACAAATATGTTCAAAAACATCAGTGACTCTACAATCACTACAACGAAGTCCGGAATATGAAAATCTATCCAAATTTTTGAAAAGTATGTTGGAAGCGTTTAAAGGCAGTGGACCCGGGGTAGATAATCCCCCACTTTTGTCTCCCTCACTGCAGAAGTCTAGCGCCGTACCAGTTCACCAAGGTTACGGAAACACTCGACGTGACGTCACAGGGACAAATCGAGATAATAGCGTCAGTGCCACAACTTTGGTGGACGACCGTGGCAAAAAATCGATGACTCACATTCAGACGCAAACGAAATACTAACAACGCCGTGAAATTAGACACTCGTGTTTTTATCTTTTTAATATCTATTGATGCTAGCATATACAATTGTTATATAACTTAATATTTACCGGGTTTTTATTTTACTGTTGCATTTGATAACATGGCAGCACAGCTGAAATCATATAGTTTGTAAAAAGTAGTTAATTTGAATAAACCCAGGTTATTAGAAAGTCATGGCATATATCGCCTCTTTAATACTGACAAGATGAAGACAGAACGATACACAGATTAGGTTCAAATTTTCGTGTATAAATATGTCATATATAAATACATATTTATTTCAGTACGAACTTAATGAAATGTTTTTCCTGGTTTACCTGTTGGATTCAAATAGTCAGTTGCGTGTATAATGGTCACCCTCATAGACAGGTGATATTATCTAGAGGTAAAATTTCTGATTACATTTGATAACTGCGGATTTTCCGTAAACATTTAAAAACAAATTAACTCCTACACGTCTTAAGAACTGGACGACTTCAACTGAACAGCCATTTTATACACCAGATGTAAAACGCGATGCCACTAGAGCGTCATTGCGAACGCGAACGACAACAAATTCATTCAAAATACACGTTGCCTTACAACTAGATGTCCCTCTACATTAGGTGTGGTAGGATTTATCTTCAGACTATGCAACACAATTGTAAATATATATCAGTGGCCTTTATAGACAGGTATATGCGGTCTTTATAGATAGGTATTGATTATATAAAGGTGGCCTTTATAGACAAGTATTTGTCACATAGATATGGCCTTTATAGACAGGTATATGAGGTCTTTATAGATAGGTATTGATTATATAAAGGTGGCCTTTATAGACAATTATATGAGGTCTTTATAGATAGGTATTGATAATATAAAGGTGGCCTTTATAGACAAGCATTTGTCACATAGATATGGCCTTTATAGACAGTTATATGAGGTCTTTATAGATAAGTATTGATTATATAAAGGTGGCCTTTATAGACAAGTATTTGTCACATAGATATGGCCTTTAAAGACAGGTACTTGTTTATATAGAGATGACCTTTAAGGCAGGTGTAACTGTTTTTGAAGTAGATAATCACGATCTTGTGGTATACTAATATAAGATACAGGTTTCCAAGTAGTACGACAATTAACCGGGAACAATGTTGACCTCTAACCTCTTAATATTATTGTATAAAATATAACCGCGACCGTAAGTAAATGAACGTATATGTACGTGTGTGTATAGTGTGGGTATGGCATCAAAACACCAAATAACATTAATAAAACAAATAACATAAACAAGTTAGAATAATCAAAGTACTCCATCATTACATAAAAATATAAACAGAGAGAAAAGTAATATTGACAAGTACAAATCCCTCTGATTTTTACCTCAAACTCATATAACTTAAGTTCAATTCATGCTTTATCATGTTTGTTATTACTAATATCTCTTCCGTGAAATATAAACAAAACCTGTTTTTTACAATTCTCTTAATTAAAATGTACTTATTTATTGTCGAAGCGAAGAAAAGAGATAAGTGGTATAAAGTGGACTGTGTAATGATAACGTTAAATGTAAAAAATGTTCATATGTTGCCGATTATGAAAAATATAGCCATTCACCTGAATTTCCAAATATACTGGTATATTGAAATATATTGTAATGCAATCATTTTCTTATTCCGATCAAGTTACAATATAGTGTACATGTAAGGAAATAGATATATATATCTCGTTTTATTCGGATTGGTTTCAATGCTTCTTTTCACTTTCCTTTATGCATACAAAGTGTAAAAGAGGATTTAATATATTTCATTGCCCTCGCTAGGATTCGAACCCGGGACATATGACTTACGGATCTTACGCTCAGCCGGGCCGTGCGGTATATATGTATTGTTACAACTTAGGGTTACAACTTTCAGAACAAAATCGTGTGTTATAGTATTTTTATCCTATGATATTGTAATGAAATCTTTAATGTTTCTAAGAGTTCATCCGTAAAAGTTGGAATTTTTTAATTGCCTTATCTGAAAAGAATCCTTTTCAATGTTTCTATTACCTTCTCTGTCTAAAAATTGCTCTGAAATGTTGTCCACACTTCTCACACGTTCCCATATCTAAAAAAGTCAATATCCACGTCTCTAGACGTTTTCTGTATTTCTGAGAAGCATTTTCCCTCGTGGAATCCGTGCTGTAATTTCCTTGTCGTAAACTAGGACACCGCCTACCACTGTAGTCTTCACAACGCCCTGGAGTTGTCTCCCTTCGTATGGAGTTAACTTGATAAAGCAAACAAAATTGAATAAGAAAATAGTGTATACTTAAATTGGTGACACACAGTGTGGTTATATGACTTCTATGACAAACTAAGTAATAATATGGATGAGAGATTAAAATATTGTTTTCGTAAATATTTACTATAAAATTTGTTTGGTATCGACAGGTATTTTCCATTAAAACACCTATGTTAAAAGGTACATGTTCAAATGAATATATGTATATCAATTAAAGTCAATTATTCTACCGCACCTTATTTTTATGACGAATCATCCTTCTGGATACCTGCAAAATAATATAGGAAATGCATGTTACAACAAAATAGACAGATAAATAAATAGATAAATAAATAAATAAATAAATATTCATTATAATGCAATTTACTTCGAAAGCCAATGCACAATTTAACGTTTATAATTGGATCGTCTTATTTATCTTAAAAATATTTTTACAATCTCCCACTGAAAAATACAAATTTGTGTATCTTATCGATAGCGCCCAGTCCAACGTGGCTAGATTTGAGGTATATCAATAAACCATTTCAGTCAGAGACATAAAACTTGAAGAACATTTACACGTTCATTTGATACATATTCTTTGAACTGAAATTAAAAAAAATCTATTTAAAATAAGTTTGTAAGTTCATATATTTATTCCTTTCATATTCTAGAATATGTGTGATAGACTAAGTAATTAAGTGGTTTTTACTTCGTATGAAGATTGTGGGTCCCAAATAACAAAGTCTGCGTCATATCCGATTTTAATGGCGCCTTTTCGGTGCCCTAATCCAGCCAGCTGAGCAGTGTTACTACACAGCAGTCTAACGACATCGTGTATGGTCAGATCACGTTGTTGGCATGAAGTCCAAAATAGAGACAAACCTGTAAATCACATTTGATACTAATATTACTAAAAGTAGGGCAATATACTGATCCAAAAGTAAATATAAGACATATCTGTGTATGGGAAAATGACTGCTCGATTGGGGAGTTTAATGTAGGGAATTTGTCAAGGATAAGAAGGGCAGTGAGAGGATGGTAACGACATGACACAACATCTTCCTTTCAGCGATAACCTTTTATTTTCTTTTTGGTTTTAAAGAGTTCCACAAAGGGAAGTTACAGCGTATACATCATTTGTGAATTATCTCCCTTCCACCAACTGTGGATGGTTTACGCTTCATCCATGTAACAATGTGTATACACACAACATTAATGTAACTGAAATGCTTATCTTGTACAATTCACATTCATTCGAACTCTTGTCTAACCGTTTCGTTTACTTTTTTGTATCTTAAACATCGGCCATTCCACCAACTACCCGTCCTGTTTGACAAAATTACCATGCAGGTAGGGTGTAAGAATTGTGTCTGCAATCCTCATTGCATTGACATGAGAGGCGACTAAACTTTGGATATAAGTCTCTCCCACTTTTACAACCTTATTCCGTGTGATGGATCACGTGATACCGCCTCAATTTTCACGTTAAGCTGAGTGTTTTCCCACATGACGGACGTAACGGCGCTTCTCCCCAAACTGCGATTTACACGTAACTTCTCATTTCTTAACGCTCAATAGTAAAATGACGTACACAAGGAAGTGTTTACCCATTGTTCTAGTGTTTTCGGCGTGTACATAGAAGCTTTGAAGGCGACAAAAGAAAACCAAAATTTATTGAAAGAAATGACAAAATTCAGACGGAGAAATACCCTAACCCAATGATTCAATAAATTTCTCAATTTTCATTTATCTGATAATTTCAGAAGTATGTAGACAAATGTGAGACACCATCTATTAAAAATGATAGATCTAGAATCCATACCAGAAATCTCATCCAAATTCAGTTTAGGCTAAATACATCTCTGCACAGAAAAATAGATAACTACAGGATGCTTTGTCAGCGAGCAATCTAAAAGCTTGACTGTAATGGATGGGAAAATATGGCGTCTTCCATAATATGCACATTCTTACCGAACTGGACAGAAGCGATGCCTCCCCAGGCCGTAGTGAAGTCTCCAGTGGGAAGGTCTTTAAGGTCAGGAGTACAGGGAGAGTGGTCAGATACTACCATGTCTATATGTCCAGCTAGGATTCCTTCCCACAGAAGCTCCTGTGTAAAACATGAATCACTTCCACTTGTTTATCTTCTTAACACAATTTTATTGACAGTAACGCTTTGTATACGTTGAAAATACGTTTAATCCATATTTTTTGTCATTTAAAGCCACTCTTTTGTATTGTGATGGGTTTAGATGTATTACATATACCGTCAAATCATACTTTTTTCGCGGGACTAAATATTTTCACGGATTTAAAAACTCCTTATTTCGCGGACTATTAATTTCGTGGATAAATATAGTTCAATGAATGTACTGATTTTAACGGTCACTGACATAAAAGTCGCGGATTAAGAGTACCCACGAAACTAATGAAAGTAATGTAAAAAGGACATAATTTTATTGATATCATTAGAAAGACAGAATAATTGATATCAAATCGAATTTCAACTATCATTTAATGAATTATCGATATCACAAATCGGAATTTTTTTATATTACGTTTACAAAATGAATACTAAAATGGCGTTCAATACACTAAAGTTCTGACCCTGGTAGGATAATATATAAATTTGTGGTCAAAATATTAATGTGTTACAAAACTTTGAAACAAATAAGGGTAAAAGCATAAGTCTTTCTCTTAAAACTGAGGTTCCAAACTCCGTAATATAAAGATTCTGACCTGGTTATGTTGTGAGCGTATCGGCGGACAACACTTGTACTGAGTAGCGCCCTCTGGTACGTTTTCTGCTACCAATGATAAGTAGTGATGACACGTTTCCACCGTAAGTGGCGCCCCCATTTGTTTCGCCTCAATAATTAAGGGGAGAGCACTAGCTGAAGACAGGTGAACTATATGACACTTCACTCTACAAAAAAGAAAATATTCATTGGAAGAGCAATATTCTAACACGACATGTCGTGTTCCGGCAATGCGTATTATGATATTTGTGAGAGTGGGTTCTGAATTTTCTCTGAAGTGTTACGAATTCAAGGGAATCATACCATCAGTTTTACATAGAAAATATGAATTATCAATACAGGATATTAATGGTGAATCCTTACATTGTTTTCACTCAGAGAAGAAGAATGATCTAGACAATGAATTAAATATTCAGTAAGAAATTGTCCGTATAATGTTGAAAATCATTCATAGAACAAGCATATTTTTCATGACAGGAGAAATGACTTTGATGTCGGATATCGAACGTTTGACAATTTCTTAAAAATTCGAATTAAATTTGTCTTCGTTTTGATACGTTTCACATTATATATATAATGTACAAAGTTTATTAATTATCAAGTACTCATTTAAGTATTAGATTCATGTGGTTGAACCATCACCTGTATTTTAGACAGAGTTCGCACACCAATTCTATTGCCCGCATTTCCATGACTTCAGGACGAGATTCTAGGAATGTATTGTATGTTTGTGGTTCACCTGTAAACACAACACAATATTTAGTCAGAGTAATGAATGGAACGAGAAAAAAAATGTCAGACATTCCCCGCAGTTGTTCTGTGTTTGAAGTTCTCACCCGTGACCGCACTTGTTAAAAGCTCAAAGTTTTCATTCGTCACCGTGGTGATAAAAAGTTCGAAGTTTTCATTCGTGACCGCGGTTGTTAAAAACTTAAAGTTTTCATTCGTCACCGTGGTGGTTAAAAACTTTAAGTTTTCATTCGTCATCGTGGTGGTTAAAAGTTCGACGTTTTCATTCGTGACCGCGGTTGTTAAAAGTTCGAAGTTTTCATTCGTGACCGCGGTTATTCAAATCTCGAAGTTTTCATCCAAGATCGCGGTTGTTCAATACTTCGTTACAAAAAGAATGGCCACCAACATGCCAACAGAAATAGACCAGGTGTTAGGGTAAGCGTCTTCTACTTCATTGACGCCAACTGTTATCCTAGCGTTTGCCTATCGTCAAAGTTTCCATTTTGATGATAAAAATCGAAATAATGAAACCAACGATACGAATTCCTCTATAAAGTTTGTTTAAAAAAATGTTGTGATATGTTATTCAGCGCTGATAGATGGCGAAAATACAAACACACTGAATTATTAGTTATAAAGTAATGTCTGTGAATAATACGTTAGGACAGAAGGGGTCCTGTTTCTCACCTGTCGATTGGCCTATGTTACAGGAACAATCCATCTCCGCATGAAACTACAACACAAATAAATCGGCCTTGTTTTCACTTGAATATCATTTCAATCATCTCTTAGTCATCTCTGTAAGGCTAAGTTCCAATCCATGTGGAAACAGACTCTGCAAGGTCTTTGTGACCTATTTGAATGAGCTCTTGATAAATTAAGACTCGTATGAAAACAAAAAACAAGTCGGCCCTTAGATCCTCTAGATATTCCATAAGTATTGGTAAATATTACTACCAAACCCGACGAAGACCAGAAACTCGATCATTCTCACAATTCTTATAATTTCGTATGTTTTCTCTTTGATTATAATGTATTTTTCCCAAAATACGCTTCAGTATAGTTAACTACTATAATATCTGTACTGTTGTTCATCTTTCATGGAAAAGAAAGCTTTCATAACGAGAAAACGATGGCGTTCTCTCAGTTAAGCATGGCATATGGTGGTTAAAAGAGTGGAATATGCAAATTCATAATTATTCAAGTGAATAGCACCTTTCAGTACAAATTTAAAATTCGATACAGTAAAGTTAAACAATGAATTAAAGAGTATCAGTGAACTAATGAATGTTCCCCGAGAACGACTTAATTGGACACAAATTTTTAAGCAATAGGCAATAATTATTTAATAACGGGATTGTGAGCGTTGAATCGTCTGAGTATGATCAATATTTACACTAAGATTCGTGATACTTGCTTAACTGTGGGCAAAGTTATGCTCTAGAAACAAAATTTCAATAAAAGGGCAATAATACTGTAATTAAGAGGTTGTGGGCATTGAATTATGTACACTGCACATCGCTTTAGTATGACCATTGTATCTACCAAGTTCCATGATCCTTGCTTAACTGTGAACAAAAACATGCCCCGGACACGAAAGGACGGACGGTGGGATGGACAAGGCGTTGACTATGTGATCTTCCGATAATTTTCTGGGAACATTGACTTGATCATACTGCTGTTTAGTCCCTTTTACGCTCATGAATACAACGCACGGCATTGTAAATGATAACGAAGTATTCAATCTGAAATTGTCTTCTTCTGTAGGGACTCAATACTGGTACTTGATACAGGATGAAAAAGAAAATAAAAATCGGACTACATTCTGACATATTAGTGGTGGGCCTTGGGAGTAATGTATAAAACACTCGTTTAAATCTCAAGGAGATGCGCATTTTCTGGAACTTCAAGAATAGCAATGTGGCAAATATTTTGAGTGTCATGACTCACTTCAGTATATACGTACTTTTGGATAGTATGTTTAATGGTAATTCCATATTAAGATATAGTGAAATGAATGTTTATAGTATCGTTAATTGACTCTTTTTCTGGAATCTAAAGTTAAAAGTTAATATTTACCAAGATAACCGCGTCGGTTCCTTGCAGGATGGTCATAGCAGCCTCCAAATCAGTGCGGTCGACAGCTGGGAAATCGTCCACTCCACTGTGTATTAGGAAACACTTGAAACCAAGAACGCCTGCTTTTAACATAGGCCGGAGTTGATCCTACGGTAGAAAAGAAAACGACTATAGATAAACACCTATTAATGGCGGCCATATTGGATTTCATCACGAAAAATGTTTTCCTTGGGATTGCAATATTATTGCTTGAGAATGCATAGGAACGCATTTTAGCTGAGTTTATTGCTTTTGACCCGAATATGACGGATGTTATATTTCATATTGAATATACCAGAAAATTATTTCTTCGGATCTTGAATACAGAAAACAATAGCTGCACAATATCGCTTATTGTTTAGTGAAATGATTTTTGAAAAGACTTGAACTCTGAATTGATATGACTAGAATCTTTTAATTGTGTTCTCTTTTCGTAACCAATGAGCTGTAATGCTTATTATGTTATAATGTTTCGTTTGATTTTTTTAGTATGTTTTTTTGTTTGCTTCTTTTTGTTTTTGTTTTTGTTTGTTTGTTTTTTGTTTGTTTTTTGTTTTTTTTTTGTTTTTTTTTTTTTTGTTATTTGTTTTTTTTCTCGTCTATTTTGTTTTATTCTTAGGTGTTGGCAGGAAAGGGTCGCCTTTCATTTGAAGTTGGAGAAAAAAAATCAAACTAAAATAAACGGTAATAAAATAATGTAAAGTTAGTAAATATATCAACAATCTAAAATGTAATACGCCATTATAAACACCATGACATATTTCAAATGAGATAACGTATCTGTTTATATGTTTTTTAATTAAAATTCACGTTTTCGTCCTCGATCGATATTGTTGTTGGTTGTTATGATAAAATCACAGACTGGCTTCATTAACATGTTGTAATGGTACTGTATTTTTACTTACTAGAAAAATGAGAGTTTAAGTTTGAAGTTTTCTGAAGACATCTATATGACTATGTTATATGATTTTGTTTCACCTGTATACAGATAACGTGCCTGATTGTTTGGTACGATACCTCCCCAAAATCCCACATCCACAAAACATTTACTCTCGGCATAGTCTAGTTTCGTCGCAAAGGCAGAACAACTGGTTGTAGATGGAATACAGTTTCTATAAATATACAAGGTAACATACTATGAATAAATCAATTTGTAGATCTGAACATGTGTTATCGCATAAGATATAATGAATATATCATCCAAACAGGTTTAAATTTATTTCAAATATCGGCATCAGCTGCTTAGTCTGATATTTAACCATTTGATGTGGCATAAATTTGAATATAATTACATATATAGATGTAACAGGATGTTACCAAAACACAGCTGATGCTCTTCGATGTCATTTGCATTATTCTTTAGAACAACCAGACGGGGAATTATTAACAACATTTATATAAGTGATCTGTCAAACATCCAATTACATTTAACTACTTACAGCTTCACGTGAAGTGTGCACTTATTACCACAGTTACAGTTCACTTAATGTATCAACTTATAACGATTATCTTCAACAATGACTCTAAATTGCTTATTTCCAAAATATCAGGTGTTCCTGTTAATATTGGTGGTTTTAATCCCATATGATGCTAAATTCGTTATAAAAAACGATTTTTTGCAACGAAGACTAAATTTATATGCGCAAGCGGCAGAAATGGCTTTTCTTTGGCAGTACCACCATACTACATAGGGTAACTTCCGTTTCTTAAAGCAGTGTCAATATACGTCCACGTCAGCTCATTTTGGACCATTATTGTAACATAGTCAATATTTAACATTTAAGGGGTTATTGTTTTACCAAGAAGATATACGGATAAATATTCCTCCTTATCACTACCTTCAATGACAATTCTACACCTTCCATTTCGGTAACTGAACGGTGTATGATTAATTTTGTGCGAATGAGAAAAATACAAAATACATCACCACTGCACTTAGATTTGATGAGAAATGGCAGGAACACATTGATATATCCTCTCACTGATACTTCAAGGATATAGGAGAAGACAAGGATCATTACAAAACCATGTATCAAACTGGTCCGTTGGAATTACATGGCTATGCAACATTATCTATTTATATTTGCACATTGTTTTGGTGCAGACACAGCGGTTAGACTTTTAGTCAACGTTTATACACATGTACTTGACATTATTTCCCGAAATTTACATGTGTATGAAAATTACAAAATTAGATTTTATTGGAATTCTTTCCGTCACATTGGTTTTCCTCAGTCACCCTCTGAGTTTTCAAGATTTAGGCCCATAGAATTACTGACGTGGCTTAGAACGATGAAACTGCTGTATGTTGCAGATCATTTCGTTATTCGGTTCAGTTGTATCATATTCTATGTGAGTGTGTTTTGTACGTTCTTACACATTTGATACAAGCTTCAAATGTCCAATAATTGAGAGAAAGGATTCGTATAAGCCCTGACAAACCTCTAATTGGCATTCGTCTCACTATTCCATGGTAACAAGGAAGAGCACATTAAGAATATGGTGACCAGAACTTTCAGCGTCTTTTGCTTTATCCACAAAACTCCGTAAGTAAATCTCAACCAAAGAAATTCCATGTTCTCAAAGTGAGACCCCGGACAATAGCAATGGAATACTGAGGCATGACAATTAAACTTAATATAGCAATAGAAAAAAATTTTTTTCCAAATGATATCTTATTGATATCGAGCATTCACCCTCTTTTTTAAAACTTCATCCTCTTTTAGTCTTTTGTACAATCTTTTCTTCAAACCATTTATTGAAAACAACAAAAATCAGCGTTAGATGATTCATGATAATAAAAATGAATACTTTATAATTACAGTGGCATGTCAACAATGGTGGTCGTGCCACCTACAGCTGCCGCTTCAGTGACCGTCCAGTAGCCTTCCCACATCGTCCTTCCAGGCTCGTTCACGTGGACGTGGCTATCCACCACACCTGGCATAATGACGTCATTTCCGGCATCCACCACCTTTAATGGAGGTAAACAAGAAAATATAATTTTGCATTTCTATCAAAGTTCAAAAGATGTAGGTTGATAAAAATTATGGGAAAGTTTTAGGGTCGTCATCGTGACCTCGTTAAGAATATATATATATATATTGTACGATATGAAGTTGGACCTGTTTGCTGATGTTTGGTTTGCCTGTTGGTTCTGTTGTTGTATACTTTAATCCCATTTGAGAACGTGGCATTACTTACTTTTTTGACCGAGATTTATATGGCAGGTGTTGACGATGCAGTAGAAAACGCTTACTCACCCACTTACTGTCTTTGTAATATATTCGTACCTATTCTGGGTCAAATTGTACACTTGGCTACATCTGCATATATGTATTATTGTTTCATTGCTTCAATATGCATGATTTTGTTTATATGTATATTTTATTTACCATTCTTTAATAACTTAATGTGTTAGTGACATGCATGGTTGGCTTTGCTTTTTTTCTGTGATATCGTATGTATTTATCTATCGCAGACGAAAAATATGTCAAATTCCTGCAATCCGAGAATGAATATAAGGCCAGATCTAATCTGGTTCTAATGTTGCACTTCGGTCATATTTCCCCGTTTGATAACAAAGTTTCACGTTTATACTTCCTAGTTAGCCTCTCATGCCAGCCTTCAAGGTAGCCTCTCATACCAGCCTTCCATGTTAGACTATTATCTTAGACTTCCACTTTAGCCTCCCATTAGCTTACCATCTAAGGTATAACACTAGCCTCCCCACATTAGCCTCCCGCATTAGTCTCACGCGTCAACCTAAAAGTTAGCCTCCCATACCTGCCACGTCAATCTCCCAATTAGCCTCTTACCTTAGCCCGACAGTATGTTTTTCCATGTAGATTCCCACGTCAGCCTACTACGTAAGCCTCCCGGGTTAACCTCCCTGGTAGCTCCCCCCGCCTTAGCCTTCCATCACATCACATGCTATCCTCCTATGCTTGCCTCCCACATTAACCTCCATAGTTAACCTACCATGTAAGCCTACCATTTTAGCCTCCCACCTCCAGGATTCGTATTCATGAAACAATTCTCATACCCAAGTATGAATCTGTTTGCAGACTCAAACACTTTTTAACACAGGCCATAATCGGATATCGGAATTTATTTCTTTTTTAAATTTTCAAAGGAATTTTTAAAAGACTTCAAATGAGATATTACTTGCAACGTTCAGGCAATTTTCTTTAACACTTTTTTTATGAGTCAATAAAGTTTAGAGAAACAAAGGTTCCATAAGAGGAAGCGTCATCAGCTCCATCGATAAAACCCGTAATGTAAATTTTGGTCAATTATTCCAGGTACAAAATTCGCGTTCTCAACTGAAATAAAGTTACAAGAACTCGTAATCACAAAGTATACAAAAGGACATGGAAAGTATAATATCATCTCACACAGAGAAATGAAATATTTTAAAGAGACTATAACCTCCCTGCAGCATTCATCAACTTTTTCGACAAAATATAAGTGTTGTAATGAAATGTCACTTACCACACAATAGTCGTCCTTGTTTAGGTCATCAGAGGCATTACCTGTCAAAATATCAACTATTTTCCCATCTTCTACTAAAATACATGCTTTTTGCATGGTTCCTTCTAATACCACATTGTTTCCAATGAAAGCTTTACTAGCTGATATCATCCTCGAATAGGTGACTACTAATTCTCCCAACAGGTATGACACGGTATTAATCAAAACAGATCTATACCATACCACGCTACCAATATATTCTTGTATGCGTCTGTTACACAGTGCTTATATGACCACAAAAGTCTTCGTTTGTCATACACATGGTATATACGTCATACGCCCGGTTGTGTGTGTGCATGTGCGTGGTTTATGATTATGCGACATTTAAAAAATGTCCCCGCTTGTTAGTTAGAATGTCGATTCGCTCTGCTTACTATCTTTTTAATGGTAGATCAGTTGTATGACCTTATAAGCTCAATCCGCTCCGTAGAATCAGATACAATTACGGTATATCATACCCCACCTGATGTCCTGATTAAAATATATGTATATAAAATATAAGCAAACATTGCCACAGTTTAAATCAGCGAATGCCGTTTTACCAGAATTCGGCTGTAACAATTCATCCTTCCAAGCCCCGCCTCCAACTATCAACTGAAGTCACGTGACGTCATACTCTGACAACAAATGTAAACAAACTCAATTTAATATGGCGGTATTCATGCCAATTCGTAGAAAGTTTTGACTTTTGTTGTTCGAGTTACTTTCGAGGAAAAAAAGAACATTCTACTTGAGAGAATGATATATTTGCTTAATATTGCAAGCCAGGCTGTGTTTGCCTTTCTTTTATGCAATCAGAGATTCTAACTCTGAAAAGCGTCAATGAACGAAAGTCATAAAACGTTTTCGAGGCCCATCGTGCTGTGCCCAATCTATAGCCTAACGGACAACTTTCCAAACAACAGTTATGTCATGACCTTCAAATACATTGATATATGACAATGCTTTTTCTTTGACATTCAAGTTCTTGTCAGCGTTCAATATTTTTAAGGCTACATAAAAGCACAGATAGAGTTAAGGACTTAAACTTTGCATAGTTAAAATTATCATTTTGAAACATTTTTATCATATCCAAAATGTACATGTAGTTATACTCTTATTATATATTTCTCAATTTACAGCCAGAATTTCATCTGTGTTGTATGATACTGGACTGCATAGTGCTTGATTATTGTTATGAGTTGATAAGACAATGATGAGATCCCCAAATTTTCTAGTACATTTAAAAAGTTCTTAGTTACAGTGTACAGCAGTGACAGACGGAATTCGAATGTAATAAAAAAAACGGTTGTAAAACAGGCAGGTTTTACAAATGTCGGTTTGTTCAACCAATGTTCAGACAGAGTTCGGTTGTTTCAACCAACGCTTAGACAGAGTTGTTTCAACCAACGTTTAGACAGAGTTCTCTGTAACAAACATCAGTGATTATAACACAGACAGGTTTGACAAACTTGGGCTGTTATAATCAACTTTAAACAGAGCTCAGCTTTAACAAATAACAGGGATTATAACACAGACAGGTCTGACAAAGGTCGGCCGTTGTTACCAACGTTTAGACAGAGCTCGGCTGTAACAAATAACAGGGATTATAACACAGACAGGTCTGACAAAGGTCGGCCGTTGTTACCAACGTTTAGACAGAGCTCGGCTGTAACAAATAACAGGGATTATAACACAGACAGGTCTGACAAAGGTCGGCCGTTGTTACCAACGTTTAGACAGAGCTCGGCTGTAACAAATAACAGGGATTATAACACAGACAGGTTTGACAAAGTTCGGCCGTTGTTACCAACGTTTAGACAGAGCTCGGCTGTAACAAATAACAGGGATTATAACACAGACAGGTTTGACAAAGTTCGGCTGTTATAACCAACGTTTCGACAGAGCTCGGCTGTAACAAATAACAGGGATTATAACACAGACAGGTTTGACAAAGTTCGACTATTATAACCAACGTTTAGACAGAGCTCGGCTGTCACAAATAACAGGGAATATAGCACAGACAGGTTTGACAAAGTTCGACTATTATAACCAACGTTTAGACAGAGCTCGGCTGTCACAAATAACAGGGATTATAACACAGACAGGTTTGACAAAGTTCGACTATTATAACCAACGTTTAGACAGAGCTCGGCTGTCACAAATAACAGGGAATATAGCACAGACAGGTTTGACAAAGTTCGACTATTATAACCAACGTTTAGACAGAGCTCGGCTGTCACAAATAACAGGGAATATAGCTATTATAACCAACAGACAGGTTTGAAATACGTTTGAGCTCGGCTGTCACAAATAACAGGGAATATAGCACAGACAGGTTTGAAATAGTTTGACTGAACCACCTTAAAGTGGTTAAAATTTGATAGAAGCGGAATTCAGGAAAAACAAACGCAGGCATGATAGAAATTCTTCTTTAAACTACCTGTTTATGCGTGAGAACATTCTTGCTGTGTTTTCTCATGCATATAATCTTGAAAAATAAAAAAATACCATGTGTATCTGTCTCATGTTTTCTGTTATGAATATGCACTAGTAAAAAAATCCGTGCCTGTGTGTCAGTTGCCATACATACATTCTTTAACAGAAGCTCAGGTGAATGACCTTTTTTCACTTAGTAGATTGGACGAAATTACAGTATATTATAGCTCGCCTCACCTAATTTCTAGGTTAATTTATATGTTTTTTAAAATGGATACAAACATAGTTTTCATAGAGTTCGTCTGTAACAAACAGAAAGTTTGATAGAGTTCAGCTGTTACAATGTCGCTTATAATTAAAGTCAGTAAGGGGTAACGCTGTAACTTTGATTTTTTTCTGATTTAACGTAAATGAATTGTAATACAGCAAAAAAAAAAAAAAAATAAAACTTCAACATAATGAAGGTTCGTCTATCAACGCCGGTTTATGCGCAAGCTAAGTAATTCATTCATCGATACAGAACTGATACAGTTGTGTAATGACGTACAGAAGTGTTAAGGGTAAATTGCTTTTCTCCTTGGTAAGACCGTGTCGGGTCTAACCCAGATTGTATAAAGTAACATGGCTGGTCATTTCTAACGATGGGATATAAGTTTTAACCTAACATAACATTACTACTACATTTTTTAATTCCACGCCGAGAAAAAATAGAGAAAATACACAAGGAAAAAATGAAGAAGGAAAGAAAGAAAAACAGCTTGTGGATGTTTTTATATAGGTTACGTCAAAAATGTGACCGATATACGTATACATTCCGGGTATGGTACGCGATGACCTAGAACTGATAAACAGGTTTTTACTTTGTGACCGGTATTGCATACAAATGATATCACCTATCAACGTAACGATAACAACCGTGTCACTTCAACAATTCGGTCATATCGTTTATTTAAGCCCAACATCTGTTCAAATCGCCCTATATTCGTGGTCCGTTGTCCGGCTGTCCATTTGTCTGTTTATCTTTGTCCATTTGTATGCGTATGTGTATGTTTGCGTCTGTCCGTTTGTTTCTACGTCCGTCTCGCCGACCGGTCGTTGGTCTTTGTCGTTCAGATTGTCTGTGTCACTCAATCTGCCTTTCTGCACGTATTTCTGTGTTTATCGTTATATGTCTCTGTCTGCCTGTCAGGCTGTCTGTCTTCTGAAAATTAACGATACAGTCACTCGAAGATACTTATAACCGACTTACATACCGGACGGTTTTTGGCTGTATATCTTTCATCGAGTCTTAGTTCGTTTAAAACCCTGTTTACTGTGCCTTTAGGAATAACGAGCCAAATGAGAAGTAGACCTATTATTGAGACCCCAGTACGATATCTGGTGGCCATTGATTGGACTTTTATGTTCAAAATTATAGTTGATATAATTAATAGGTAAAAAATATTTTTACTGCGAAATTCATCAAGTTTTTAATTAAAACAATGAATTTGGTTTATTTAAAGGAAAACAACCTTTCTCTATTTATTTCATTGCTTCTCTCTCTCTCTCTCTCTCTCTCTCTCTCTCTCTCTCTCTCTCTCTCTCTCTCTCTCTCTCTCTCTCTCTCTCTCTCTCTCTCTCTCTCTCTCTCTCTTTCTGCTTGTCTGCCTATCTGTCTGTGCGGACGTCCGTCAGTCTGCTAGTACATGGCTGCCCGTCCATTCCTGTATGTACATGCCTGTCTGTTTGCGTATCCGTCCGTCCGTTTGCGTGCTTTTTTTTTAGTTTTTATGTCCACCCGTCCGTCTTTGACTTTCAGATGTTTCTTAGTCCGTCTTTCTCCGACTATGTCTATCTGTTTGTCATTATTCGTCTGTATTTATATCTCTCTTTCTATCCTTTCCTCCATCTCTGTCTGATTTCACCGTAACTGTGGGGACGTGCATGTCTCAACAGAAGTTAGGGTGTGCCAAAAACTTGGTAATGAAAAGTAAATATTTCGCGACAGTCTAAATTAATGATTACTAAACGCCATCCTTCTTAACTCTAAGGAACAACCTTCAAACGAGTTAATTGGTTGTCACAACAAATTTTCACTTTCTCCAACCAAATAATTCCATTACTTAATGCCTGGTTGTCATAGTTTGACAAACATTGACATGCATATTAAATGTTTCGCACATTTTGGATATGTAGGTAAGCCTAATGGAAAATGAAAGTATTAAATAATAACGAAAACAGACGGATGGATTTCCCGCATTGTGTTCATTGTGGTAGTGACCAGGTTCTATAGGGAGATTTCCCTTCAAAAGGATGCTGGCTGCTCACTTAGTGTTAAAACCAGCACACGTCTTCTGCTAATTGTTGTACTGTGCGATTGAGGCTGAGCAAACAAAATATCTACTATGTCTCTCTGATTAATATCGGAAACTACAGTACTTGCTCAATGCACACAGGTTTAAATCTATGGAATTTATAATATTCCATCATATGTGAATGCAAAAACGTGTTTACAAATGAAACATACATGTTGTGTATATTTACAGGTGACACAGAGAACGAAGTAAATATGATTTATTTGCAAATACTTCAAAACGAATGTTTTAAGCTGACACTACGTCAGTCAAGTTGTAAATCTTCTTCGACTTAATTTTGACTGTGAATATTACCTTCAGGACATTATTAGCTCATTAAAACACTGTTTCAGTGTTGAT